AAGGGCCGCATGAGTGACTGGTTCAAATGATGGTTTCATCGGCGTACCCGGCATGTACCGTGGACCACGAACGTTTGAGATGGATTGCATGTGCTACAATGTTGCTGAATGACTGGAAGCAATGGTAGAATGTCCCATTGATGTCTTGGAAGAAACCTCTCCCTCACACTTTCCTGGCGCTCTGACAAGGCATGCATTGAGTACGTTCATGGACCCGAAGGACTTCTAATAGGAATACAACAGCCAAAGGAATGGAGAAATCAGACGTCTCGGCAAGGGTTGACGTCCTGCTCATGGGAGATATAGTGTTGTGCTTGCCAGAACCCCTCATGTGAGTATTTGCCATTGATCTTTGGCCATCCGCCGGGCGGGATCGAAAAGGCCCTGGCATAGGCCATCCGAGTCATCGTCGAGCACTCAGCTCCGCTGGCCTCCCAGAGACGTCCGCCAATGTTCAAACCTTTCAGTTTATCATCCACCTTGCCCCATTTATTAGGTCGCGACCATTCGGTGTCGTACTTCTCGCGCATGACATCGAGGGCTTCCGTCCAGGTGCCGAAAGACATGTGCGGCTTGTGTAACTCCGTAATCCACAGGGGTCTGTTGCCCAGAAAGCCCTTGAGCTTCGTGGAGTCCATGCAAATGCTGTTCAACGTGGTTTTGCGCAGGTGCGGCCAAGGCCTAGCTTTCCAAAGGGATGGAAGATAATATCTCACGGGGTCGTCCACGTTCTCTTCCCGCAACGACTCGAAGCTCAGGTCGAGCTCGCGAAGGTTGTTCGACGATAGAAGACAGTCGAGGAACTCATCCAGGCTGTCTAGTTCTTCGGGTTCTCTTGGGGGGTAATTCCCTGCTATGGGCGTCCTGTTAAATGGGTCGTGTGAGATGTGGAATTTGAGAAACTCCACGTTTCGCATAGCCCGCTGGAAGCCCTCCCTGGCATCGGGTGTGACGCTGAACCCGGTGAGCGTATTAGGTGCGGTGACATTGATTTCGAGATGCTTGAGCTTGATGCTGCGACTTCCTATCGTCGATAAGAGGCTTACTAACATCAACAGACAGCGATTCTGCGATCCGGCTGAGGGGAGGTTCCTCGCATTATCCCAGTTGCTCCCCCGCGTGAAGAGATCAAAGAGCGGCTCTTGAGTGAATTTGTTGCGTGTGTCACGGTATTTAAGGATCCAAGGCTGGTCATGGGAGTGATCCGAGAAGGTCAGGGTCTCGACGTTGGGCATCCGGGCGATGGCGTCTGCAACTAATCGGACAAAGTGGTCTCCCTCATTGTAGATGCCATCCAGGACGCGGAATTCCTCAGCCACCTTGTTGCGATAGACGTTCCAGCAGTGAAAGAGAAACGTGTGTTGTGAGAACCTGGCATACCAATCGCCTCCCGGCACCCGAGCATTGAAACCCTCATCGCGATCGAGGCTGTGGAAATTTCTGACACCGGCCATGAACTCGTAATAAGCTTGTTCTTCTCCTGGCGAGCCGCCGCACCATTGACTCCTCCCAGTCGCCTCATCGGTGATCATGAAACGTTGTACCATGATATATAGAACGTGGTCGACGAAGTGCGCGGGATTTTCTGCAATGAAGGCATCTTGGTAAGGGGCGGCGATACGGATGGTCTTGATGCCCCTCCCTAGACTCGGGTGACGAGAGATATAAACAAGTTTGGTAAGAGATTCGTCCGTCAGACGCACAGTGAGGAAGGAAAAAAGCAGCGGGGCGATCATGTCCGCAAGAGATCGACAAGTAAGGCGTAGAGACTTCATCAGGTTCAGCTCTGCCTTGTTCCGGAGGTACTCTGGCGGGCGATATCCCTTCTGGACGATGGTCTGATTTTCCTCGGGAGCGAAAATACGTGCGAGAATGTCGTGCGGCATGTCGCCGAGGTTTATCGGTCGCATATGCTTCCGAGACCGAGTCCGAACGATTCCCCGGATGTGCTTACAGCGTTGGAGCAGCCGTTTGGCGAGGTCGACGTGGAACCTGGCTTGGTACTCCTCGGCATTCAGAGAGTAAGGTTTGGGATCGAAGGGGCGGGTGGGTTCCTCCTCTTCCTCAACATCGGCCTTGTGATGCGCTTCATGTTCGTGCTCAGGCTGAACCGCGCCATTGGCGTTGTGATGCGACTCCTGGCCATCCGCAGCCTCGACCGCATTGTCGACGTTGGGCTGACCTAGGCCGTCAACGTCGTCGTCCTCATCACTGGAAATGGGCTGGCCCAGGCCGTCAACATCGCCGAAATCGTCGTCGTCGTCGTCGTCTTCCAGATCGTACCAGTCCTGGGCAGCCCTCATTTCATCCTCAAAATCCGAGAGGCCCTCCTCGTAGGAATAGGCATGCTGCTCTTGCGGAGGGACGACAACGGCCTCAATGAATTGCGAGCCAACGTAGAAACCCTTGACGGGCCAATCATCTTGTATGTGGCGCAAGGCTTCATCAATGTCGTGTAGGTTCTGGTAGAGCGTGGCGAGATCGGCCGTGTCGAGGTGCTCGAGAGGGCGACGGCACAGCTCATCGGCGCGTGCATCGATTTGTTCGGGAGACCACCTGCGGTCGCCCAGGACAGACTGGGGAATTCTCACGTCGGGATAGTCGTGGAAGGAGTCGTAGGATTCTGCGTTAGGGTCGCAGTATCCTTCGACCTTGTGCCATTCGGTGTCAAACCAGATGGTGCTGAAAAAGTTGCCCACCGGGTTATCCGGATCTTCTATCGTCAACTGGTCCAATGCGCCTACAGGGTCCATGGCGGCAATCGAGCCGTGTTTTTGATCGGTGGGAGTTGATCGGTATTCGGAGGTCGTTCAGCAGCGTCTTTCGCGGATTTCGCGGGGGGCATTCGGAGGCGGGGAGATATTCGTAGATAAGGTAGTGGGTGCTGCTCGGAAGAAGGGACGCGGGGCACTTTCATTCATTACTTGACCGTGTCACGACGCGGTCCATAAAGTTTAATAGTACGCGACATCCATGCGCCCAGCCAGGCACAAGAATGTCACCATGACATATTCGTACCGTTCGTACTTGGCGGCCAAGATCCGATTGGCGCCAGTCGTTCCATGGCGGGAAGAAGATAAAAGAGAAGAAAAAAGAAACGGAGCATGGATAATCACGAAACGAGGAGGGATAATCGTGATGGCGGGGTGGGACCTCTTGCGCCACCTAGGTAGTCGTGAATGATTGACGAAGCTACCTACATCACAAATCGGGCATCACACGATGAAAAGACCAACTTTTGCCTCCCCCTTACCACCACCTCGGCCTAGAGCGAGTGGTGATCCTGCAACAACGTGTGAGTGACCTCAATGACATACTCGGAAAGCAAAAAGTAGACCTGGGTGTGCAGAGGAACATCATCCCGGCGTATCATGGCATCCCGGCGTTGCCAGAACCCCCCCGGGCGTCGGACGTCCCGCTCCGCGCGCATCGCTTCACGTTCTTCGGGTGCCGTAGGCCGAGGGTCCTCCGTCAGGTAGTAGAATCGCTCTGCACGCGAGCACCACATGACCGCCTCCTAGAGGGTCACGATGGGGCAGGCGATGCCGCAAGCCATTGTGCCGATTGAAGATCTTCCACCCGTATACGCTCTGCTGGAATATCGGCGACGGTTGTCCGCGTCGTCAGGCTGCTCCAAGAACCATTCGTCCGTATTGAGATCGGCCTCCTCGCTTCGGGGTTCGTCGTCGGCATCGGATGCTGGCTGATTTTGCACAAGAACGTAACTGCGACCGCGTTAGGACACGAGCCTGCAAAGAATATGACAAATTACCTGTCGTGCCTGTCCATGTTGGCCGATGGCTTCAAGATTGACCCAACAACGGGACTCTATTCAGAGACTTCCGAGCTTGAAGAGACGAAAATTGAAGTAAACCGCACTCGCGACGACTCAAATTGGTGACGGAAGCATGTCTGTTTGAATGCGCTGGCGCTGACTGAAACAGGTTGCTGAGCGATGGGTTCCACGGGTGCGAGATGGTGCTAGAAAAGATCGAAAATGACCACAACAATCAGTCATTCCGAAACGAGACGGCAAGCGCCGGGAAAAAAAAACGTTGTTGAAGCGCTTGACCGTTTGATGCCGTGAGACAACCAAAGGACGGTACAATTGTGAGCCCCAAGGACTGGCGCCGCATCCTTCCATCTTACGTGATCGGGGACTGCTGCGGGAAAAAAAAAGGTTTCACCCGTGATCCGCCTGCAAACGCACCGATTCTGCGAGATGCAGGCGACATGATCCAATCCAGGCTCTGCTTTGCCGGGCGGCTCTTGCGCCGGCACCCATATGACGCCAAATTCGCATTGAGACGACCGAATACGCTAGCTTTCCAACCAGCTTTGTCGGTATCAACGCCGTTTGCCAATTCGCGATCGTCGTCTTGCTGCAGCAAATCCAAGGAAGCGTCTCCGCCACCACCTCCGCCCCCGTCGGTTCTCTCCCTCGACTTCTGGTCTGCCAGGCCAACATGGCGTCGCGCTGGTGTCAACACGTTTCGGTGTCTCGTGGGCTGCACTGTCGGTGATTTCTCCGCCATGTGGTACCTCCAGGCCTTTCATCCGGAGATGGCGATGGAGGCTGTCATGGGCATTTCGAGTAGGTCTCGCATCGTCGCCGAGAGGCATCAAAGGCATACCGACTGATCTGGCGCAGTGGCGAGCGGTCTATCAACGTCGCTGCTCCTCGAGACCGTCCTCCTCAAATTTGGAAAAGACAGGCTGTCGTGGCCTGTCGCCGCCAAGACTGCAGCTGGCATGAGCATGATATCCATGATCACGATGGAGTTGGCCGAGAACGCCGTGGACTACCACCTCACGGGGGGCATCGTGCAGCTGAATGACCCGGCTTTTTGGGGCGCTGCGGCCGTCTCTGTGGCTGCTGGTTTTCTCACACCTCTTCCGTATAATTACCACAGGCTGAGGAAGTTTGGCAAGGCATGCCACTGAGGATGGTGGTTCTTCGTTGGTTCCGAATTAATGTTGTACGATATCTCCGCTGGCATTTAAAGGATCAACGATGCGGATGTGGCGTTTCCCTCCTGCTCTCTCGCCGCACGGAATTTCTCGATGTATTTCTGCAGGCGATGGATGTATCCAGATTCTTCATGCACCTAGAGCAGCTTATTGTTAGCACTTTGCAACACTTTGCAAATGTTCTCGCTGCTTGAGGCATCTCACATTGCGGCTAAAGGCATTCATGTACGTCGTGTCCGCGCCGTTGAGCAGCAGAGTCTTGATGACGGGGAGCGGGTCGCCGTTATGGAAATCCACTGCAGCGCTAAAGGGATTCATCGTGAGACGATGAACTTCAATGTCTTCGTGGACCAGCGCGGGGTTCCTGTCAATCATGAGCTGCACCAGGTCTGCATTCCCGCTTCCGAGGGCCGCCGCCCAGCTCATGTCGACCCGAGCGCCGTAGTCCAACAAAAGTCGCGCGCATTCCGACGAGCCGCTGTGCGAAGCCATGAAAAGAGGCGTCAGATGCTCCAAGGGGACATCTTCCTCGCTCGGATACTGTAGCGGAGTCGCGTTGATGTCGGCCCCGTTCTTGACCAAGTGCTCGACAATGTCGTAGAGCCCCGAGTATGCTGCGAGGTGCAGGATTGGGTACTCGCCGTAGAAGTAGCCGGTCCCGATGCCGCCTTTCCAGTGGAAATACAGGTAGCTGAGATCGGAGGCGGTCGGTGGTGGGTGGTATTTCATATCGTTTGGCTTGCAGAAAGGTGCTGCCCGCTTCATCATTCGGAGGGCGTGCGCTTCTGCCTCTGGGCTGGGCTCGTCTTTCATGGGGTCGTCGTAGTGAACCGCGGGCCAGAGAAGCCGAGAAATCCAGGGCAAGCCGTGAGATTGAAAGTGCCGCTCGTAGTATGCGCTCAGCGAGTATTCAGTGTACTGGCGACCGAGACAAGCCATGGACAGGAGGTCGACATGATTATCGATCTGGTCGATGATGGCGTCGATTATTTCTGGGGGAAACCAAGGCCGCCGCTCCGCTGCAGTCGCATGCGGCGTTTCATCTGGGACGTGACGGGGTGCGGCCTGCTCAGAAGTCATCTCGTGGTTACAACACCTGGAGTATTGATGCTCGTCAATGAAGCAAGTGCGAAGATGCTGCCGATCTTTGGTGAGGGATGTGGGGAGTCGATGCGCCAGCGACTCGTGTCTGACTTGCTGCATCCCACAGATGAGGTAATCCTACGCCGCCACATCACAAGGATTGGGAGGATGATGCTTGGGACTCATCGTGCCTTTTGTGGGCAATGTGAATGAGGCAGCGACTGGATGCACATGATCAAACATTGTGGAAAATTGGCCAGAAGGATGAAGACAGTCTTCTTCTTTAACAGGGCGCGATTTTCTATTGGCATTTCCTGGATGGCCTGTTAAGGCCTGGCTCCCATCGCAGGCCGAAACTCAAGGAACAGAATTCACTTCACAGACGAGATACTTCAATGGACTTGGGAAAGAAAGATTTATTCTATTTTTATTTTAATTTTATTTTCAAAAACAAACATCCAGCCCCTACCACTCGCCAGCCAAGTCACATACAGCTGAGTCGGAGTTGAGTTGAAGAAGGGTCTGAATTTGAGCATGTTCGCTCACTGAGGTGGTGGAAGCCCACTGCTGCGATGGGAACCATAACTGAGCACTAAACCAGACACTCGCAAGCGAAACCAAACCGTCTTTCCGAAAGGGTGATATTTCCAATCTTCATCGCTATTTCCCATTTTTTTGTACTTTCTTTCCCGTTTGTTGTTTTGTTATTTTCCCTTTTTCTCCTTATTAAATCCCGCGAAAGTGCATCTTGTGCGCTTCCCTTCCAAGATGGACGTGAGATCCAATTTAAGAAATTTAAGATGTCGAGCCAACAGTGGACGCTAGGACAATGCAGTCACTAAATCGGGGCGCTCCAGTACCTAGGTAAATGGCGGGTGTGGCCAGGTGCACACCTTGTGTTACTGGATAGCATCGTGAGATCTCTTTCACGACATCACTTCGTCACAAGCTACTCCTACGAAGATTCGTGATGAACGACACGAATTTGTCCAGAGGTGCGTTGCCATTCGGAGACTCTCTGGCACAGCGCTGCGTCCCTGGCCTGGAGGGCCTGTGGCATGACCTGCTGGCGAGCTTGCAGGACCGCACGAGCAACATCGGCTTGGGGCTGCCGCGCTTTTCGCTGGTCAATCGCAAATTTACGGGCGGCGAAGATGATTTTATTCAATGACTGGCGCTGCTGGTTTGTGAGCTTGGAGTTCGAGCCAACGATGCGCAGAGCTTTAGGGAGTTGGGCGGGCGAAAGGCGCTGAATCAGGGCCCCGATGCCCTTCCTAAACCTCAGTTCGCGCTCTTTGAGCTGCCCGGGCGCATTGTGGGCGGGCGACGCGGGCATGCTTTGCTGCTGTAGCGCGGGTCGTCCGGGCATGTCGGGGCCCCGGGACGGATCCGTTTACCAACTGCTGTAATTACGGCTTGCTCTATGGAAAGAAAAAGTTAGGGAATGCCAAAGGACAAAAAAAGGCGAGGTGCAGTGTAGGACATGAGGAGGTGCAATAGATTGAGAAAGGGAAGAAGAAGAAGAAGAAGCGCACTGATCAAAATGAGCATCCCGCGGCGCATGTCTGCCTGCAACATCATCTGCGACATTGAAGCGATAGGTGAGGACTGCTGCTGGGCCATAGTGAGAAGCTTTAGAAGGTAGGCTACCTAGGTACCGTACTGAAGACTAACGTAGAGAACGTAAGATAAGATTTGATACTCTACTTAAAGGGCTATAAGTTTAAATAAAGTGATAAGTAAAGAAGAAAACTATAAAAGTAAACTAGAGAAATAAGTAGACTTATATTTTTTTTTAGACTTTACTTAAGTAGTTTAGCTTAAGTATTTAGTAATTATTAATAATAACTAGAAATAATAACTTTTAATTAGTTTTAAATTCAATTTAACTACTTTTAGCTAGTAATACTACTATTCTAGCTACTTTAAGCTAGCTTTTACTTCTATAATAACTACTTATAGTAGTAGTAATAGTAGTAATACTACTTACAAAGTTGGTTCTCGTACGTTTTCAGTCACACGCTACATCACACGTTACATCTCCCAGATGCACTAGACTTGGAGCTAGTGCGCCTGGCAGCAGCTGGTTGCACCTGTGGCACTTTTTCAACTCAATCTGTGGTATTATCACAGCATCCGAGCCTGAACCACAACTTGTAACATCGCCCAATGGCAATCCTGGAGGTATCAAAATGTCCTTCGTCGACACTGTGCCGGTCACTCACTCGGCGGGCATAAATCGAAGATTACAGGCACGATATCTAACGGTGAAAGTTCCTCGACTCATATCACCATCTTCTGATGACCAAAACTGAACTTCAGACATGGGCAACATCGGAATCACTTGCAACACCATACACCAAGGCTACAATCAGCGAAGGAATGTCCATGTACAAGCGTCATATTAGACAGCGTAAATATCTACAAGAACTGGTATCCCGAACCGTCTCATCTCCCACTTCACATGCCGTCCTTGATCATGGCGTTGACAATCTGCACATGACGGTTCGCATTCGTCTCGCTCCACTCGTTGTCGTAGTTCAACCCGTAAGGCCAGAAGTGCGAGCCGCCACAGCTGATGGTCGCGCTGGCACCATCCCACGAGCGCAGAAGCGGGAGGGCGGTGGCCCAGTTGCCGGAAGCGCACTTGCTGTCGAAGGCGGCGGTCTGGCCGACACCAAGCGTGTGAGAGATCTCGTGCAGAGCGGTGCGCTCGTTCATGTATGATCGGTTCGAGCCGAAGCGGACGTCGCCGTTGTAGTTGGCCTCGGCGGTCGGCACGCCGGGGGCGTAGTAGACGCGCAGGGTCTTGGAGGCTGTTCCGAGACGGGAGTGGCGAGCCACGGCGAGACGCATCGCGGCCTCGATCTTGGTGTATGCGTCGGTCTGGTCGGCGGTGGGGTTTGCGGCCTTCTCGAGGGTCCAAGTGATGGCACCCTGGGCGGCGGCGGCGTAGGCCGCGACAACAGTGAGGATGGAGAACTTCATGTTGCTCTGGAGGTTGAGGGCTGGGTGATATGGAACGATCGTAAGGGCAGTCTAGTCTCTGCGAAGAACAAGAACGAGAGAGGCAATGAAGACGCTGGGTATTAGAGGAGTGGTCGCCGTGCTGTACGAGGACAGTTCGGACGACGAGCAGATGCGTCGGCGCTTTTGTACCTTCGGCAGATCAGGATCCCTTGCTTCGACCCAAGCATCGCATCTCGTCCGAACTGTGATCTCCTGACAGGCCAGCCCATCAAGACTTGCCTCTTCCGGACGTGGTCGTTGAACGCGTTTTCTCATGGCCGGCAAATCGTCCGACGATATCCACCAAAACGGGGCGGCCAGAGCCCCCGAACGTGCCATCGGGACTTTTTTGACGAGATAAAAGGGTCGGATTAATTTGTCCGTGGCGTCTCGCTTGGCCCCCGAACTACTCGAGATCCATTGATGCGACGCTGGCCTCTGAATAGAGCGTCTTGGCCCGTTCCGAAGCCCCTGGTGGCCGGCAGAGGCAGTGATTAACTTGCAACGCTCCCCCGCACACCCTAAATCCGACTTCCGTTCCTGGATCGGCCTTCCGCTCAGTCGTTTGCTCTAGATTGGCTCGGCTTCTGTTTAACCTTATCGGCTAACGTTATTGACACACGTTGTTTGGATGATTTGGCCCCGGCGCTAGTTGATATTTAGTTCTTGGGACGAGACCGCAGGCACTCTCATTTCGACCCTGTTCTTGAGTGATCATGCGGCCTCGAAGACATCGGTTTTTCCATCCACCGCTGCAGTCATGCCAAGGCGTCCGGCCCGCTGGCATCCGAATCTATTATCAAAGAACCACAGACCTGCTCAATCTGGGAATCTGATGTCGATCAGTCCCTCTGTGAACCGGTCTTCCATGGGAGCCACGGCCGAAGCGGCCCGAGTGTGACCGGGGCTTCACCCTCGTATGCAGAAGCCAAAGAAGGGGAAGTCCTTGCTTGCTATTTTTCTTGGTCGAAACGATGGCCTCAAATATCACACCATGAAGTCCAAGTTCACGCAAGCCTTGACGCAAAAGAAGCTTGAGAATGTCGCAAGTAGATCGTCCATCTACCTATGTTCTTGGGAGCTTCATGCCTAGTATACAACCGCGCCCTGCTGGCGCCATCTTGCATGAAAATCAAGCTCTCCTCTCAAGATACCGTAAAGCAAGAACGACTCCAGTCCGTAAAGCAAAACCAATGATACTTCGCAATGCCAACTTCTCTAACCACCAACTTTCCGGTCCAAACCAAAAGCGCACTGCATTATCGCGATCCTCCAAAGTGCTCATGCAAAAAGCAACCCACGTCTGTCAGCCACACCATCATTTCTTCTTTCCCTCCATCTTGATCAACTTCTTGAACGGCTTCACTTGCTTCGCAAGCTTCTCGTTGGGATCGATTCCCATATCTTGAATGACGTCCAACATGATGGTTCGGAAGACCTTCTCGTGGAGTTCCGGCGGGACGGTCCCGAGGGTCTTGAAGAAGACATCGCGCTGGTTGACCTTCTCCTTGGCAGTGAACTTGGGCTTCTCTTCGGTCTCCTCCTCGGGCTCTTCCATCTTCGCCTTCATCTCAAGTATCCAGGAGTCAACTGGCTCGTCATCGTCGAGGTCATCATCATCCTCGTCATTGTCGGTGTCAGGCTCCAGCTTCTTCACGATCGTGCGGTCGCTCGTGTCGCTTTCCGTATCACTCTCTGCTTCGGCATCGGAGTCGTCATGAAGCTTCTTCTGCGAGAGGTTGTTGCCGCCAGCCTTCTTGTTCTCCTTCAACTCTTGACTTCCCACCGCCGTATTCTTGGCTCCAGCGGCGTCCTTGGTGCACTTGGTAGTCTTGCTGCCCTGAATAACTCCTCCTCTGGCTCCTCCTCCGCCATCGCTGCCGTCAGCATCATCGCGTTTGTCGAGTTTGGGTTTCTTCGTAGAGATGACCTCCAGACATTCCACCTCTGAATCAGATTGGTCTGATTCCACCTCCATCTTGCGCTTCTTTGGGGTCGTCGGGTTGACCTTGCGCTGACCGGCCGATCTGGAAGGCTTGAAGTAGGTGATACCCTTCAATCCTCGCGTCTTGTTGTAGGCGGACTTGACGCAGTCATACGACTCATTTCCGACGGCAGCGTTAATGACGTCTGAAAAAAGGTAGGCTTGATCAGAGTTGATACCACTCGCCCATATGTCGGGAAGACCGTTCTCATTGCGGAAGAAGATGGCCCATATGTCCACTTCGTTGTAAGGCGTCTTCTCACCTTTCACGAACCTGTTGAATATTTCCCTGTCAGTCATACGGCAGCCAGAAAGATGTGCCCACAGGCGGCAAACTGTGAAAGAAGGACAGAGCGGGAGGAGGAAGGACGAACCTGGTGAAGTTCCTGTACGTCGTGTGGCGAGCAACGTAGAAGTTGTTGATGCTGACAGGCCGTTGGAGGTCTGCCATGATCTTGCCTTGCAATTCAGGATGCCAAATCTCATGTGCGTAGTCCTTTTCGAAAACGCGTGCGGTGTAGTCAATCCACGACTGTTGCAGCCGAGGACGGCCGGTGGCCTCGTCCTTGTCGTTGAACTGCTGTACCATGGCAGCGGAAGGTCCCATCTTGGCTTTCTTGGGTGACAAAGCAGAAGTGCCTTGAGGTGAGGGTGTCTCTTGCCAGGTCTGCTGGGGGCTCTGGGTGCAAGGTTCAGTAGACTTTCTGGCGGGGAACCGCGCGATGGTGTTGTTAGTCATTTGCTCGTTAACGTCGATAACTTGAGTAGGAGCTCGATCGGCCGCTGACTGTGCGAGGGCAGCCTGGTGGCGAGGTTGGTTGTTGACCTGAGCCGTCGAGGATGCGACAACTTGGGTGGTTTCGCGTGCAGGGCTCGAGGGACGAGTCTCCAAAGCGACCTCGTGAAACGTCTCAAAACTCGCTCGCTGTACGGGGTTCTGCTGCGCGCCGTCACCTTCCTCGAAGAGTTCGGCGAACACGTGCTCTGGGATGCCTTCGGAGTCTTCGTCCACAACTGGGCTGTTGTTTTGCTCGAAAAAGGGCTGATCGTTCACTTGACGGATTCGAGTGGAAGTAAGCTGTGAATCTTGGTCCCAAGCCACTTCGAAAGGGGGCTCTGGGGTTTCCTGGTCGTCGACGTCAGCAGAGTCAAGCGCTGCAAGTAGGTAGACGTCGCGATCGGTGGGAGAGAGCCCGTCGGAGGATGAGAATCGCGGGCTAAGTGTGAACGACGAATCGCGGTGGTGCAAGGCGGAACCGTCGAAGTTCGCTGCTGTAAAAGCAGTCGCGGCCCCTGACATGCTGCAACCGGCTCGAGAGCGCACAATGTGCGGCCTGCTGAATGAATGGTGACACTCGATGGGGCTTTATTGGAGATATGATCGAAGTTGAAGATGGTGATGTAAAAGTAGAATGGCGAAAGGAAATTCGGAGATGTGAAGGTGTTATGAAGGTGTTGTGAAGGGGTTGTTAAGTGGTTGAAGTTTGACAGATGGGTGGGTTGTGAGGTGGGATTAAATAAACGATTCAAGGTGAAGTTGACAGGAGCTAAACCTGTGGAGGTGAGATTATGCCGTAGAAGTAGGAAGGAGCGGAAAAGGGACGGCAAGGAAGGTGCAGTGTTGGAGCATCACGCAGCTGGGTATTCACCCGTAATATCTGATGACCAGTCACACGGAGGTCTTCAGCCTGGCTCTACCGAAACGTGGAAATGGGAACGCACTTGTTGAGATCCTATCTGAAGCAGGCTCAAGTCATTCTTAGAGCACCATGGCAAACCCCATACAGCTTTACTCCTCAACGGAATTCTATGGCAAATCTATGGACACCTGCGAGCTCGTAGATTGATCTGAAGCTGCACAACCGTGCTAGTAATTGGCATCTTCGGGAGTCGTCGTACTTTTCGATAACGAATGTTCTCGGAGTGTCCTGCTGCATTGGCACTGGAACTAGAACAGTTCATCATGAAAGTTGCAATTTCTCACGGCATTACAATTCAAAGAGAAATCAATCTCCTTTTAGCACAAGTCTCTTCGGCCTTTCCCCAAACAGACGACGAGCTGACCACATAAGGATCACCCTCATTGCTTTTCGGGATAACATTTCAAAAGTCTTGAACACTCACTCACACCTGGCATACCTCATGGTGTTGAAATCGCATAATTGTTTGGTGCTTAGGATGACGCGACATCGGCAACCAATCTGTGAAGACCTAGATGACGTGATGGGAGACGATTTCCGCTGCCCCACATCGTCGAAGCACTCAATGTTGGAGAAAACACCTTCTCGGTGAGACTCGATGTTGCCCCGCGTTTTTCTCACGGAACAACCCGAGTGGACGTTCGAGATTTCCCGGCAAAATGCCAAATGATGAGTCTTTGATGATTGCACCCGGCATGGAGGGAGAGCCCGAACGGCACCGCTCGGAACAACGCGCCAGCAAGCTTCGTCGAGCGGGACGTGCATGTCTCGGTTGTCGCGCCAGAAAGGTTCGTTGCGACGCCGTCGAGCGTAGTCCCTGTAGCAATTGCGAGTGGGACAATGTGGAATGCGTGGTCCCTCGGAGCCGTCGAAGTAGGTAAGTTTGTGTCATCGAGACTCCAAGGTAGTAGGGTGTTAACGCAGGGAGGAAAATCTTCGTTGGGGCACATAGACCTGCTGCCGATGTCCCGACAAGCCAGTTCTCGGGCCATGGAGGTTCTTCTACCGACATAAGTATGATGGATGAAACGGCTACTCAGATCTTCCGCGATGCTGTCGATCCGGACTCAGTGGCTGTTGGGGCTAGCTCTCAGCCGGTGGAGAATGCCCCCCGGGCATCATCTAGCAATACGTCCACAAGCTTCTCAACGTCCAGACCATTCCCAGGATTCATTGAGTCTCTAAGGCTTTGCAGGGATGGATATGTCGAGTTTCTCGAGAAGCAGGGGGCTTTTCGCCTCCCCAGTCTGTCCTTACAAAGCGCACTCTTGAAAGCCTTCATCGAGTTCGTCTACCCACGCATGCCGTTGCTCAACTTGACCAAGCTATGCGAAGCCATCGAATTCTATGATGGAGGCACAAAGGACTTCAGCCTCTTGCTGTATCAAGCTATTCTCTTTGCTGGTTCCGCACATGTCAAACAGGCTGACTTGGCTGGTACCGAATTCTCTGACAAGCTGAGTCTGAGGAAGACACTATATCAGCGTGCAGAGGTGAGACGCCAGTTTCCACTAAAGAGCATTCAACATAACAAAATTGAGTAGTTGCTATTCGAATTGGGAGGTCCACAAGACCATCTCGCCCTTGTACAGGTGGCTCTGCTTCTGACCTTTCGAGGTATATCCCAAGATTCACAACTAGACCGGAAAGACTCATGGCAATGGATGAACACCGCCGTCACGCTGGCGCTTGACATTGGATTGAATAAGGAACCCTCTCTGAAAGCATTCGATAATCCAGAAATCAAGTTACGACGGCGACTGTGGTGGTGCTGCTATGTCCGCGACAAGATTCTGGCGCTTGGGATGAGCAAGCCAAGCAGAATCAAAGATGAGGACCATAGTACCTCCATGCTCAGCATACATGACATGGACTTGGAAACTCTGAAGACCGAAAGAACAATATTCGGGCGTATCCAACTAGGGCCGTACGATCATGTCGAAATGGTGGAGTCTGCTGAGTTGTGCGTCGAGAAGACCAGACTGTCGATGCTCATGCATCGCACGCTGCAGCTTCAACAGAGCGCCGGAAGTCAGCAGAATTCATCGCTAGAAGACACAGTGGAGGCAATTGAGGCAGACCTCTCAGCTTGGGTCAGACAGTTACCAGTTTCTTGTCAGATCCAGCCTCTGCCTATCAGGTTACGGATCACCAGCATTCAGACATCCATTCGATCGCGGCGGCATCTTTTGCACATGGCTTACAATTTTGCTCGACATACATTACACCATGAACGCAACGCGCACCGAAAAGAAGCTCATTCCCACAGACCGGTTGAGTCTTTGGAGACATCAAAGCGCATCGTGTCCGAATGTGCAGACAACATCACTCGGCTTGCAGCCGATCTTCACCAAGGGCAAAATGGATCCGTATCTCCCTATTGGGGCAATCACGATACTATGTCCCGCAATCTCTACGCACCTCATCAACATGAAGAACCGAAACCAAGGCTCGAGGCATGCCGCTGTGTCAGGCTTTCGGGTCTGTATGAGAGTCCTAGACAAGCTGAGGGATCTCTATCCTGCAACAGAGGTCACCCTTGCATATCTGGATGTAGTTCTCCAGAAGGCACAGATGGAGTCAGCTATCTCGGTACGAGCGGTCTTTCAGCTCAACGAACGAGACCGAAGCGATATGCGAATGATTCTCGGACGCCACTCGGGGCAATCGTGGGATACAAGCGTAACGTCGAAAGCCACAGATCTAGGCTTTGCTGGCCTTGAAGATGCTATGAACCAATTTGAACAATTTGATACCCCGGAGTTCTCCGCGGACTACGGCGCGGAAGCATCGATGGGATCAACGTATCATGGGACATTACTCGACCCGCTACTTTCGCCCAAAGACGCACTTGGACAGGTCTATTTTAATGACCTGAATCCCTGGCAATGCCTGGACCTTGGATGGATTGAAGATGCGAATGCCCAACTACCTATTGATGACGCCTTGATACCAGCGACTACAAATCTGGAAGCATCATGGTTTCAAGACAACACTCAATGAAGAATGAACCGAATTCTCGAAAGCCTCGTGGCACTTTGGTACGAATTCTGGCGTTGGGGACGTCTAGTGTAGTACTTGATATGAATTACCAAATCGTAACCGATTTTATATGAGTACAAAATAGGGTAACCCTCATTCTAAATGGCTAGGATCCACTCATCGCCATAATCATACTCAGGCCGAGCGTCGTCGCCGTATTGATTGACAGGCTCATTGCTTTCTCTCTCCTTGATGAAGGCTGCCTCGCAACTTTCGAAATACATTTTAGGTTGCCCCCTGTAAATGTCATCGTACTTAGTATCCAAGGCTTGCTCGAGAGACACGATGTCTCCGTCGGGGTGCAAAGCTGACCAAGGCCGGGAACAACGCCGGCCCTCACAGTCTTTGAGAGCCATGATGACAGCATCAAGGCGATGAACGACCTCTGAAGCTCCTCTGCCAGAAACTTCAAAGTTTTCAACCAGAATCAAAGCCTGAGATGAGTCGGAAAGCAGGTTGACGGTTTGCTCGGGGTCATCCTGTGTCCCTGTTCAGCAAATGGATGTTTAAGATTGGTGGGACGATGACTTACCTTCAGATTGAAAAGTTCCCGCTCCCCCGTGCACCACACCGAATAGTAAAGATTGAAGCTTTTCCTAACTAGACGGAGACCTTTATACGTGTTGTTGAGGTACAAACCTTCTAGCTTGCCAGACTCAAAGTGCTCATCACTGCGCAATCCATAGTGGCCTTCGGGAGCCCCCCAGCCCCAGAACTCAATGGCGGCATGTTCATTCCTGGTTTGGGCCACTTCACCTGCCCAGGGCATAGCTTCTCCATCAAGCTGTCGTTCTGCACCCGCGATCTTGAGAATTGTTGGAGCGATGTCGGTGTGCGAGGTTGCAGAGTCGACTTCACCACCAGCCACAAGGCCAGGTCCACGAACGAACATGGGGATGTGAATGTCAGTGTCGTAACCGCATTCTTTTCCAGGATGCATTCGATGTTGACTGATGTGATATCCATTATCCGTTGAGTAGAAAATGTAGGTATTCTCAATCTCGCCGGCAAGTTCGAGTCTTTCGACGAGCTCATGAACCATCTCGTCAACAGCTTGTAGGGCCCGCAGACGTTGGCGTTGGTAATGGTCGTTGTATGCGAGAACGCTCTCATTGAGCGCTTCAAGACGGCCGGGCCAGCTGGCCGCACCGCTTATTTGCTGATTGAAGGACTTTCCGCGGGGAATCTTGTATTCATGGAATAAGTGCTCATGTCGATATGCGCTTTGCGGCGTCGACAAGTAGGTTGTGTTCGTTCTCTCGTCAAACACCCAATTGGAATGCAGTGCAATGGGCGCAACTATAAGAAACCAAGGCTCATCGTGGTTGAGTGCTTGTTCCAACAGAGCATAGGCTTTGTCAGCCACAGCGCTGCTACCCAATCAAGCCAAATCAATCAAATCAATTAATCAGCTAATCAAAATGAGGCTTTTTTTAGAGTTAATTAGCTAAACTTATAATACCCTTAGTTTAACTATCTTAATTAAACTGATATTACTTAGAAGAATAAAAATCTAACTTTTAAACTAATTAGAATTTTTAAAAAATTTAATAAAAAAATAAAAAAGTTAACTAGATATTCTTTTTTAGTAGTTTAAAGTTATAACTTTTTAAGCTTTTATATTATAGTTAATAACTTAAGCTAGTTTTAAACTAATATCTCTATAATTCCTTATATAATAAACTTACTATTAGCTTATTAGGTTTTATTATAATATATCTCTAAAAAAAAAAAAGTAAGTAGTTAATAATATTAGTTTAATAATACTTTTATACTAATAAGTAGTAAAGTAAAGCTAAGTACTTCTTAATAATATTAGCTTTACTACTAAAAAGTATTAGAAGTATTAGAAATATACTTTTTATTATATTACTTAATTAATATATTTTTAGCTTTTTTACTAAAAGTTAAAAAAAGCTTATTTTTAACCTCTTTACTAGCCCTTAAAAATAACCCTTTTTAATATTACTATTAGTACTACTATTATTATTACTATTACTACTACGCTTTAAAGCTCTACCTCTATATACTTCTAAACACTTTTTTTAACCCCTCTCTTATTATTATAATACCTCTATTAGTATATAACTAATATATTAATTACTTTATTAGCTATAAAGCAACTCCTTAAGAAATTACTACTTAGATTTAAGCTTTTTTAACTACTAATAATATATTAACTATTAACCTTAATAAGTATACTACTCTTAAGGCTCTACTTTATACTATTTAGAAAAAGTAGCACTATATTAATATAAAAACTATCTTAAGAAAAAGTAGTTAAAGCTATACTTCTTAGATTAAGAATAAAAGTATCTTTATTTATAAGATCCTCTTAAGTAGTATTAAAAGTATACTTATTACTTATTTACTCTCTATTATACTTTTTTATATATTAATAATATATCTAAGTAATACTTACTAAGTTTATTAATATTATAATAAAGCTAATACTTTTAGAGAGCTATAAAAAGCTATTATTATATTTAGTACTAAGAAATACCTTAAATCTACTTACTATATCTATAAAGAATACCTCTATACTAAATATCTATTTAGTAATAATTCTAAAGATAATAAGTATCTCTCTAAGCGTTAACATTCTACCCTTATTACTATACTTTATAGTAGAGTTTTTTAGATTAAAAAGCTAGCTATTAGCTTCTTTATTAATACTAATAACTCTTTTTTAACGTTTAGTAACTAATATATATAGTATTTATTTAGTCTTTTTAATTATAACGTTTATAACTAAGTATATTAGTTAAGGGATTCTTAGAAAGCTTAACTATATCACCTCTATATCTCTAAGAAGGAATAGATTAGAAGTAAGATATAGAAGGCACTTATAAAGGTCTATATATTATTTAATCTATAGACCTCCTCTAATTAATATACTATTATTATTATATTTAGCTATTTTATTAACTAATTAGGGAAATAGACCTAATACTTATTAGCTCTCTACTACTAACTTAACGCTTACTCTAGTGAGAATATTACTATAACTATTTATATTACTTTTATAGACTAAGGCTTTATTAATTAGGTTAGTATTATTATATCTAATAACGCTATAAATAATAATATTTATTTTAAAGCTCTCTTTCTTTCTCTATTATTTTTATATATAGAAACTAATACTTAGTAATACTAAATTTAATATTATAGCTATATTCTTAACTTTATTAATTATACTATTATTTATAATATTAATAATAAGGCGTTTAAAGAGGAGTTTAACTATTTACTTAATATTAATAGAGTTTAAGATAACTTAGCTTATTAGAGGTAGAGAGACCCTATTAGTAAGCTTTAGAATATTATTAAGTATATTAGATTATTACTATAATAATTTAAAAGCTTCTTAGTTATTAATAATAAGGCTATTAATAATAATACTAACTTTATTCTATAAGAAGAGTTATCTTAAAAACTAAATCTAATATTAAGTAATACTACTTAATAAAACTTAATATATAATATAATTAAGTAAGTCTTACTTAAATATAGCTAGATTAATAGTTATATTCTTTATACTTTAGGTCTTCTTAATAATATAGATTATATCTTAAGTAAGGATATCCTTACTAATAAAGACTAATAAGTCCTTATAGAGTTATATAAAGTACTTAAACTACTTTATAAATAGACTAAGAGATATAAAAGCTAAGGTAAGAGTAATAAGTATAGCTAACTTTAAGAGGTTCTAATAAGTATAGAGTATCTCTTAGATTATCTTAAAGATTAATATAAGCTCTTTAATACTTTTATTAATATTAAGATTAACTATATAGCTACTTAACTTACTAAGAGTTAGTTATAATAACTATCTTAACTTATAAAGATATCTTAATACTCTTAGTAAAGCTTAATAGTAATCTTATAATCCTTATTAATTAATAGTATCCCTACTTACTTATAGCTTAAGTACTTATAGTTATAATACCCTTAAGGTATTAACTTTAACTTTTATAGATATCTATACTTATTAATTATTAATAGCTAATAAGTACTTAATAAATATTATACTAAGCTTATAAAATCTCCCCTCTATATTACTATAGTGATTTTATATCTTAAATAAGGTTTATAATAGCTTTAGAAGTATTAGAACATTTTAGAAACTTATATATAAGTATATAATACTTAAGAAGGACTTTATAAGTATTAATAATAATAGTATACTAATATATCTAACTAAGCTAATCTATAGCTTTATCTATAGCTTCTATAAGCTATATTTATATTAATTACTATTACTCTAAAAACTAAGGACTTTAAATATTATTAATAGTTAGCTAATAAAGCTTATAATACTATTATTAATAATTTTAATAAATTAGAGTAATACTTCTATCTCTCTATTACTTAGCTTATTAATAACCCTATCTAATAGTAGATTTTATATTAATAAACCTTCTTAATACTTAGTAAACTTACCCTTAATATTTTTACTATCCTAGTAATAGTAACTAACTATAAGAAGGTATTTAGCTTTACTAAACTTCTACTAATATTATAGAAGCTATTAATAATACCCTTAACGCTTAAGTAGACTTAGTACCTCTAGAACTAAGTTTAAAGTAGTATTATTACTATAAATAGCTACTACTTTAAGTAGAGAGGCTAAGAAGGGTTAGATAGCCTTAGATTATTATATAATATATATTTTAACCCTCTAAGAATATTATAAGAGGTATTACTAATTTCCTATTTAGGTAATTATATTTAAGACTAATTAAAACAGTTAATTTAAATAAAACTATTATGATTATTAAGTTAATCAGTTAAATTTGACCCTCAGATTTGGCTTGATTGATTGGTTAGCAGTGCTGGTCAGCCACAACATCTGTATTGTACTTGCCGGCGTAGCTGACGGGCGGTTCACCATTATGTGTCATTTTCGTATCCCAATATCGATAAGTGTAGGGGTCGAGTAGAAAGTCGGACGCATTGAAGCCTCTCGCGAATGGCCGGTCATAATTCGACACGCCGTGGAAGTTCCAGAGCTTTCCTGAGTAGTAGGTATTGTAACCTGCTTCCTGCATCCACAGAAACAAGTAATTGTCGTTGAGACCTGTTTCCGCGACCTTGGGGTAGCCACCATGCGGAGGGGAAACGTTCGTGATGTTGTGGTTGTGCGCAGCTTTCCCCGTCCAGAGAGTGGCACGAGAAGGACAGCAGAGAGCAACGGCACAGTAGTGTTGAGTAAATGCCGTGCCCTTTTCCACGATATCAGACTGGCGGTACCTTGTCAGCTTGCATGATTCCATGCTTGGCAGCAGCAGCAGTGGTCAATCGTACCTTCAAGTATTGCATGTGCTGAACACTTTCCATGTGCAGGTCTTGATCATCGGTCAAAATGAAGAGAATATTGGGCCGCTTGGCCTGCACTAGAGTGGCCAGTGCTAGCCATTGTGCTAATTTCATCCCGAATTTGCCTCGTAAACGCCGAGCCTTGTTACTGGAATGAAGAGATTATGAGGAGGAAAAGCTGAATACCACGTGAATTCCGAAGTGTCAAGAGAGATTTATGTAGGTTCAAAGGTAGTCCATAATACTTGCACCGGACGAGCATCCTGTCACGGGCCGTTGTGGGGCCATCTCTTGCGGGTCCGGCTGTACCCGGCTGTACTCGGTCCGCCGGCGCCGGGATCTGCCTCCTTCGGCATAGAAGCACGCTGAACCACCTCGGACTGTGGGACATCGCCATCCTAATCTGAATCGGTGGGACCTCCTTCATTTGTCGATACTCCACACGTGCATCGTACCATTATCTTGTTTTTGGAGGTGTTGCGAACCAGGCATCCAATGTCACCGAAACCTGATGTCGTTGAGTTTTGTAGTGATGTGTCTACCTGTATCGCCGCAAAACTGTCAAAGTCAAGTTCATGTCCAGGCTAAGCTTTGGAGGAAGGTCTGTGGCCAAAATGCTTCATGGCGTTGACCCAAATTGGCCCACCTTGTAGAGGACCCTCTCGAATCCTGTCGTCTACGTAGTTATTCTACCTAGGCCCAGCATGACCAGATCCCTTGATGTGATTGGTTTCTCAATCATACTTCACACGCACGCAATACCTCCCCTGGATGTTGTCAAGCGAGCCAGGCCGGATGGGCTGCCACTTCCCAATCAGGAGCATCAGCTTGAGCGACATGGATGAGTATGTAAAGCCATGGTGTCTCACTAGGACAGCGATGAGCAGTGTAAGAGAATGTTTACATAGTTTCTCAGAGTTCAACCAAGACTTTTAGTCATTATTTGATTGTTTATTACTCCACCTGCCCCTAATGGAACCTCGTCGCCCAAGTCCGTCACTTTTCCGGGGAACTTTGGCCACTTTGAGTCAACACATTGCATCTACGGAACACAACAGTATGGAAGAGGAACAGATATCCAGGGATTGGTCGAGTGCAGAAGAACGCAAGGTGAAGTTGAAGTACTGCACATTTACTGATCTATTGATGGCTCGCATTGACATCCTGGTTGACAGGTTGGACATCGTGCTCATCACCACACTCATGCTCGGGTTCTTTGCTCTTCAACTTGACAAAACCAACATCAGCAGCGCTATAACGACCGACTTCATTCATGATATCGAAATCACAAATAACATCGTCAACAGCGGGAACCAGCTTTCACTTGCCGCCATCGTTATTTTCGAAATTCCATCCAACATGATATTGTCCAGGCTTGGTGCTCCTTTGTGGTTGACTATCGAATGTCTTGCGTGGGGCCTAGTCGCTACCTTCCAAGCTTTCATAACGAACAAAGCATCCTTTTTCGCCACTCGTTTTCTGCTCGGAACCTTCGAAGCTGGGTATTTGGCCGGATCTCTAGTCGTCATCGGTATGTTTTATACCAAGACGGAGGTGGCAATGAGAATGACTGCGCTATACACCGCCAATTATCTTGCTGCTGGAACAAGTACTCTCATTGCGGCGGGCGTGTTTAAGATGGACCGTCTGGGTGGCTTTCACGATTGGCAGGTAAGGTCAACCAGTTCGTTTGAGATGACAGGATTCGAACTAACCTAACAAGTGGCTGTTCGTTATCGACGGAGGTTTTACGATCATCGTCGCTCTACTTTTTGTGTTTCTCCTACCGAAAAGCCCAAGATGGACGCGGCCCGTGGTTGGCATTGCCGCCTTCGATATCTTCACCCAACGCGAACGGGAGATCATGACTCGTCGCATCGCACTCGAAGACACGAGTCGATCAGCCGAGCTATCCCCCATCAACCCGCGAGAGGCTCTCCGAGCACTCTGCACCAACTATTGCATATGGCTACACTCGCTCGTGGCTTTGATCTCCCTTGTTCCCAAAGGTGGACTCCTGCTCTATGCACCTACAATAATCAAGAACCTCGGCTTCGACAAGATCACCGCTAACTTGCTAGCTTCGGTATCAAATTACGCTCTCATCTTACTCTCGGTCTTCGCGGCGCGAATATCAGATTGGTTGCAGCTTCGAGGTCCGGTGTGTGGGGCCTGCACGATTTACGCACTTGTATTTGCCGGCGTGCAATATTCCATGGTTCTAAGCACGGACAAATGGGGCAAATATGCTGTTTTCGTCATGTTCATGGCGGGTAACGCGACATTCCAGGGAGTAAATAGTGCATGGCTTGCTTCTAATGTCAAGAACCCGAAGGATCTTGCAGTTGGCCAAGCTCTCATTGTTATGGCAGCTAATTTGGGTGGTCTCGCCGGACAACAACTCTTTCGAGACGACGATGCACCGAGGTATACACGTGGTTTCTTAGGCATCATCGGTCTGTACTCGGGAACAATGGTGTTGGTTATGGGCCTCACCATGCTGTACTGGTTTAGGAATCGGAAAGCCCGTGATTGCGATTGCAGAGGCAATGTAGCATTGGGGGGAGAAAAAGAGGTGAATTCGAGAAGATTTCAGATTTGAGGTGGCTTTCTAGACAACTTCACGGAGGGGACTTCCTACAAATATGATTTCACTCTCATCGTAATGCATCCAGACATCTCATATTGATTGATCAAGTAGCCATTTACGCTTGCAATCGAGTCGTGCTGGGGACCTTGTCAAGAACGGAGCGTGGAAGCAGGGTCAGACCTCTCTCAGGAGAGGGCTAAGCATTGGTTCGCGAGTATGGATCCGGACTGCAGCTGAGCCACCGTATCGTCTTCTGCAAACAGCACCATGCTTTCCTCTGTTGCCGTGTACTTTGGCCACCTGAAGCCGTTCCCATCTGTTGGGTCTTTCGAAGGATCTGTTGCGAAGGAAAGCCACAAATCTTTGTTGACAGGTTAGTGGGCCAATTCTGAGCACCGCATTTAATCGACTAACCTTGCATTGCCCCCGCGACTTGCCACTCAAACTCCGTCGAATTTCCGCGATACAAGAAGTGGGTTCCAAAGATAATGGGCAGTTCAGCTAGATGGGCATATAGTTAGCTGGCTTCCGGGCGAATAGTCGAATGGAAAGAGAGCTTACCACTGTGCATTGCTCCCAGCCAAGGTACAGGGGAGATGTTGCTAAAGTAGCCAGCGTATTCGTAGTAGTAAGTTATGAGGCCAGCTAGGTCGCGATTGCTGAGCTTAGGATTAGCGAAATGCCCATGTACAGTCTATGGAGAGCCATACGCGACTTCTTGGGATACTGGACAGTTGATAGACTTCAGGCCATTCTCATACTGGCCCGGGAGCATGCCGTTAGGGTCGTATGATCCCAGGGACGCCCCTTCGTTGGCGTTTGATCCGGTCATGTATGGCTTTGAATTATGAGTCACATAGTACTAGTTATGGCAAGGGGATATCATACCACGTCTGCGAACCTTCCTTCGAAGAGGCGCTGCGATGAGTTGGCAAAGGCTGTCATGTTATCAACCACTGGACGAAACCCTAAACCTGTGCCACCAAAGCTGAGGGTGTCCTGGATCACTTTCGCGTCGAGATTCTGCATGCATTGAAGCTCCATGTCTGCGGTCAAGTTCGAGCATCCGAAAGATCCAGCAAATTTCGTGAAGGTCGTGTGCTCAGGATCGCTAACAGTCAAAGTTGACGCGGCGCCGGAGTCTGCAATCAATCCCGACACAATGGGATCTTCGAACCAGGCATATCCATACATGCCTACTGACATGCCGCCGGCTGACTGACCCCACAGATTAATCTTGTCTGGGTCGCCGCCAAAAGCGGCGATGTTATCCCTTGCCCACTCGACGACGAGTCTTTGGTCAAGGAGTCCAGCATTCTGAGGAGCAGATTTTGCGTTCGGAAAGCCGAAGATGTTGACGCGATAGTTCATGATGACAAAGATATGGCCTTGGGTTTTCTGGATCCATTGATCTGGGATCTTGTACAGTGAGTCGGCCCCTCCGCCGGTGAAGCCACCGCCTGGAATGTAGATAAGTACCGGGAGCCTTTCGGCTATCGGGTTTAGCGGGGCGTATATGTTGATATAAAGGCAGTCTTCGGATTGTCCACCGTTGATGAGAAACTCCGGAACATAGTCGGTGTAAGCTGAGCTAGCGTTGCTGAGCTGCTGCATGCAGGATGGCTGGTACGAAGTTGTTGTCAAGTTTCCAAACGGTGTCTTGGGTTGAGGCGGCAAGAACCGAAGAGATCCAACTGGCGGCTCAGCGTAAGGAACGCCGAGCCACTGTCGAACGTCTGGAGTTGTTTCATTGATGAGCCCTGTTACGCTCCCAGCACTGGTGTGGATCGTTAGGGAGCTCGGCTTTTGCTGTTGAGATCGGTTCAGGACCCCCCTGGCGCCCACGGCCAGAGAAAGGACCCCGTAGGCCAATAGAACGACAGACTGCATGGTGAAGAAAATTCCCGGAAACAGGAGATCTTGTGTCTGACAAGCGGCACCTGAGAGGGGAAAGGGCAAGAGAGCGTCCCATCTGAGTGCGAAGCATTTGTACCATTTTATCAACCCAGACAAGCCCACTTATGCTAGTCCAGCCGAGGGATAGCAACAGGAGGGTTACTAGGTTGTGCAATGGTACTGGGGCGATTTCCAATCCATCTGGGCAAGAAGGAACCAAACCGGTAGAATATTTAAGAGAAACCCATGTCAACAATCATCGTTTGATTACGTTCCCCGCATTGGTAGCTACATTGGGTCTATGAGGTGGTCATCAACGTCGACTTTTCCCCCAGACCCCGGATTCTCCAATGCGGGGTTGCATTTTAGCTTGTTTAATGCGGGGATGATGGCAAATGCCACCTGCAAGACATCACCTGGCGCCCTCTGGATAAACTATCATCACAACTCGGCAGTATTGATGACTTTCAGTTGATCTTGCCGGCAATGACGGATGGGTCGACTCAGAAGGCTTTGCTTAAGCGTCAATGTCGTCATCCGCCTACAAATACATGTTACTGAGAGTGAAACCATCCCAATGCCCAAAGCCAAATATCCCGCCTTAAAGAGACCAAAAGCGAATGTAATGTCATTGATGAAATCTAAACTATGTAAGGATTGGCGTGAACCGAACAGCGTGTACGAGGTAATCTTGGAGGCTCACGCTTCTATGAGCACTCAATTAGTCCCCCAAACAAATTTATCAGCTCGAGGCTCTACTTAGATGATCTTCCTAGCAACCTCTGAAGCAACGAAATGTATCGGTTGAGATGTAAGCTCGCCAAGATCTTGGCAAGGCGGTTGGATCTCTTTGCTTGGACCTTGTCGAAAATGAGAGTGTCGAAGAGTTCGTTCGAAAATCGACTTTGCAGATCTTTCATACCCCAACCAGCCTCGCTCCCAATCTCGGCAAGAACTTTACGGAACTCTTCAATCTCTGCCTTGTAGTCTTCTTTCATTAGCTTCTCCAACCAGGGTTTGCCATTGACTTGGAACTTTTCCCATTCTTTGGCCCAGTGAGGACGAACACGCAGCGGCTTTTGAGTTCGTGGGTCCTTCAAGCTCATCCACTTGTCGAGCACTTGTTGCGCGAAGCCAACCCACTTGTCAACGGGTGTCGCTTGCAAAGTAAGTATTTCGATGGCACATGTTCCCAGCTGATTGTGTCGCTGAGGAGCCATGATGATATCACTGCCTCCCATGATTCTCATTTCCAGAGGCATGCTCATAGGGCAATCCTTGATATTGGCATATGCCAGGAGGATTGCGTCCCACCAAGCACGCTGGACCGTAGCATAGTCAATGTCAACACGGCCCTCTCTGGTCGATCCAGTGTGCTTCTTAGAAACGAGAGGGATCTCAACCTCCATGTCTCTGACCCGGACATTCTGTATAGCTCTTTGGAAGTGCAAGGCGTCTGGGACGTAGGTAGTGACCCTTTTGGTCGGAAGAGCGTTGGTTCCCGCCAGAGAAATGAGTGTTACGACAGACTCCCGAATGCCAGTCAGATCAATCAACTTCTTCAGGAAGTCCGCATTCTGTAGAATGTTCATTGTAACAGATTGTACGAAGGAAAGAAATATCTGCCCGTTGTCTGGGAACTCAACGACATCGCTGCTGTCCGTGGTGTCATTCCAGCAGTTGACCCATACTTTTTGAGAATATGGAAACCAGAACCATTCGGAATAGTAATCATTTGTTGCCTGGCGTTCAAACTCAAGTTGGCGCTCTCGTTTCTCCTTTGTGCTCAACGCCTTCCAAGGCAACAAAAGCACTGGTGGGATGAGCGTCTCGTCCAAATCGGGAGGAGGAGGGATGGCATGAGTCACAGGCACTGTCTTGGGGTTCAACTGGGCGTAGGTCATTGGGGGCATCTCGAATGTGATGTGCGTGACAACCCCCATCAGCCCGAATGCACCACTGGCAGCACGAAGATGTCCAGGCTTAGTGACAGACCTTGCCTCGCCGTTGGCATCCACATAGTCGATGCGCCGGACAATGTCGCTCAATGTTTTGTGGCGTCGACCGGCACCGTGGCAAATTGGGGCATTGGATCCGCCCATGGTGATCTCTACCATAATAACGTTCATCGGCAGGGTGACTCGTCTGTTCTCAATGCACCACTGGCGAAGCCTCTCATTGGTGCAAGCTGCACCGACCTTGACCAGGTAGTTTCCTTCCTCGTTGGGCTTGGCGGAAATCAACTCAATATCTTCCAATTCCGTCGGCTCGTCCTGTCTGAAGGGCCAGAACGGCAGAGCAGTGGTATTGGGAAGCTTCGTAGCTTCCTTTAGGCCAAGAAGAGAAATCAGGATGTTCTTGCCAGGCCCGTCTCTGCCGAATACAGGGGACCAGGAATGACCTAATTTTCCAGTTAGTACAAAATACAACCCTTTGCAATAAGATTGGAACTGACGAAATCCTGCACAACGCACGCCCATGTTCTGCTCTTTTGCGAACTTAACGATCAATTGAACCTCCTTGACAGACTTGGGAACACAAGTTAGGTACGGAGTGTTCTCTACTGTCAGTCCCCAGTTCTGAAACTTTGTGTTATAGTACACCTGCCTATTGGTTAGCCAGTTGACCTCTTCCCTAGCCTCAGGCAAACCATTTACGCACCAGAATGCCTGCTCCTTCAAGCTCATCCTGATGAAGTTGGGTGAAGGCTCTCATGTCGGCAAGCAGAGATTGTAGGATTTGGACAACAGGAGAGTCGGCCAAGTGTTCTATGTGCTGCTCTTTGAGCTTTGTTATGCCTTGTGCCCCAATTTGAAGAATGCAAGCCGCTTGGCAGAGGTGCTCTAGCTCTTCTCGACATCCTAGGCTTGGGCCCATATTGTATTGCTTGCCCAGGGTCTTCGGATCACCCGACTCCCCGCCTTCCAAGAACCTTTCGATGAGGTTTTGTTCATCATCAGTATGCTTGTGTAAAATCGATGAGTAGGTACCGTCGGTCTCCGAGTCTTTGAAGACTCTCAATAGTCTTCGGATGAAGTGCACATGATCGACCTCAACATCCGGATTGACGTAATCAGCAAGCAGATCTTTCAGACCAGGTACATCCTTGGCACTGAACTTGATGGACTTGTCTAAGCTGTCGACGATAAACTGAAGTCGATCGTTGACCGTACAGTCCCAAGCGGTTGGGGGCGCCATGAGGGATAGAAGGAATCCTCAAGACGGTATGAAACCGGGCCTGCACAGGTCAGGAGATGAAAAGAATGAGAAATCGATCACTTTGAGTGTACTGACAAAGACCTTTGTAAACCGGTCCACGGAGGCCGCAGTTTTATGGCACCTGGATTACACCTGGAGAGAAGGTAAGGCAGTGTTCGTCTCGTCAATACAGATTCCTGTTTCTCTGTGTCAGCCAATTGTGTAATTGCATGCGCGAAGTAAGAAAAAGACAAACGATGATGCGTGTGTGTGAAGTCTTACCTCAGCCTGAACCAAAATCCGTTGAGTGGCCACAGGAAGGAGGTCCCTCACTTGGCATGCGTCGTAGGGTTGAACAAAATACCAGGTCTTGGGGAAACGAACGCAGTATGGTATGCGCGGCTCACAACAAGCATATAACAACTTTGCGAGACAGCGTTTTCTAGCGCAATTAACAGCACCGAATTGACGAACGTTCGTCAACCTGCCTAATTTATGACAACGATATGGTATCGTAAGATCTATGTTGTAAGACATGTTGATCCCAATTGAACTGAGTCACAAGACATTAAAAGTTGGCCGCATTGGGTTGTAATATTGGCGGCTGAGATAGTGTCTGACTGGTATGTCGCGTGCACTCCGTGAGGGTGTCGTGTTGCTGACAACTAAAAGCGCGCATCCCCGCGCCTCGACGGCTAATCACGAGAATTAAATCAGAACATTGCGCTATTTAGTGAAAAGTCTGATAGGAATCGTGGATTTCATCCATGCATTGGCTAGATATCATCCGTCTATCTGACACTTGACAGAAAGATTCGGTAATTACACATGCTGGGTCAAAGTATGACAAGCAAGCCTCTGTGTTTGTGAGATTCTTTCTTTCATCAGTGTCGAAAAGACGTAATAGCCAAAATGTCGCCGGGGTAGGCTTCTGCAATGACCTATGAAGCGTGGGGGTGTCAGAAGCGCGCATCATCCTCACTAATTACGTTTCAATCGTTCCTGCACCACACCAGGCTATGTATCTGCCGAAGGCGCTACCGCAAGCCTTCCGCGCGTGCTTACAGGTACACAGTCATGCTGTCACAAAGGTCAGACCCAGAGAATTTAGTCCTGCTTGGCAAACGTTTGCATGATACCTTATGAAGCGGGCAAATTAAACCGTCCCAGTGATTCAAATATTCTGAAGAACACGTGAGATCACAAACGCGTTCTGGAGAAAATAACCGAATGCGACTACGAAGCACATCCTTTGAAATGGCATGTATAAGTAAGTACTTGTCTATCTCTAAACCTATGTCCATCCAATGCAAAAGGGAAAACATCCCCCTCCCTCTGTCACGCTGTGCCTAGTTGCGTTCATAGCTAGGCCAAACAACCCCGCAAGAAAAGGCACAGATTTTACTCAAGCCAGAGCAGCACCTTCTTGGGGCTGGATTTCAATGAGATTGCCATCGGGATCAGCCACAAAGATCAGAGGCTCAGTGTTCGGAGCCAAAGCTGCCTCGATCTGCTTCTTCTCGGCTGAGCTCAGCTGGTCAAGAACTTCGGCAGGCAGACCAGTGGCACCAGACACCTTGCCTCCCATAGGGAGCGACTCTCCGTATTTTTTCATGACATTCACATCGGGGAGGTCATCCAATCGGCTTTGCATAGCCTTAATGTCTGGAACGACCATACCGATGTGCGCAAATGTGTTGGGTCGCTCGATACCGGCCTCGATGTTGTTGACAGGGACGTCGACATAGATCAACTCAATCAAGCCTTCGGCGTTGTTCTTCTCGCGGTTTAGCTCCAGAGTAGTCTGATAGCCGGTTCCGTTCTTTCCGCCGTGGCTATGTCCCATGTACGTGATAGAGTAGTGCTCGGTAACGTGCAAGGTGAAGATCTTGCGAAGACCGAAGACGTTTGAGTAGAAGTCAACGCTGGTAGTGAGGTTTTTGACGTTGATGCAAAGGTGGTTGATGAAATAGCCAGTCGTAGCGTAGTCCGCGGGATCATCAGTCCCGAGTTCCGGATAAGGGTATTGGATCGTCCCGTTTGTCGATCGGGGTTGAAATTGAGGCAGAGCGTGGCCGATTACATGGCCGAGGAGCTGAGATCCGATGATGATGGCAGTGAAGAGGCGAACCATGGTTGAGGTTTGTGCGGCGTTCAAGTATTGGTAGCGGTTAAAGTGGTTCTTAAAATCAAATATCTTTCTGGGTTCTCAAGATGAAGAGGGCAATGAAATCAAAGTGAAGTAAAAGGCTGGGAATTATTACGCATTTATATCTCTTTGAAAGCGCATGTTGAGGGCCTTCCAACCCCAGTGCTCATCAGTGTTCATCCGGTCGCCGCCCTCGCTTCTCGCGGTCGCGTTTACCAAAGTCCCAAAAAAGGTGTTGGTTGGTTTTCACTGCCATGAGTCTGCCCGAACCCGACTCGAGCGACAACGCCATTGGGCGCAGCCTGGATACCCCCTGGCGGCACTATTCCTTCGTGGCTTAGCAGGGCTTACAGAATCTTGTCGCGGACGGTCGGATGATTGGCGGCGCTGTAAGTAAGATACTCAGCGACGGCGCGATTGTCGATGCTTACCTGCAATGAAGTCGGTATTGCGTTTCTAATGGTCGCCATCACACGCGAGTTTTCATCAGCACGAGACTCAAGGCCGGAGCCTGAATACATTGAACTATGCGATACAATTTGATTTGTTGCAGAGAGCCTCACATTACTACCCCAGCCGAGACTCAGTCGTGCCTCATGCGCCGCAGACTATGTCTTGACCGCATATTCAGCTGCTCCACGTAAATTAAATACGTGGCAATGAAATGGGGCATTTTGACTAGTCGCAGGGTGCCTTACAAGTCATTTCAACGTTTTCTGCTGGGAAGAGATTGAGCTTTCTTGGCCAAATAGCACCTTTCGAAAACATGTTCAAATTATGGTAGACGCACCGACGTGACAGCGAACCTCACCCAGACAACCTTTGCACCAGACACCTAAAGTTTACTGTCCCTCCATCCATTGATATTCTTGCTTTCTTCCATCTTGCCTTCATATCCAACCAGGGTCCTTGCCTGCTGGAGATCTTGTGCAAGACCACCTAGATGGACGACGTCGGCAGCAACCATGATGAGGCTCATACGCTCTCCAGCCGCCTTCAGCTTTTCGGGGCTGCCGAGAGGAGCAGAGCCAAACGAAAAGCCGGCGTACGGTTTGTCATGCTTGTCAATCGTGTTGAAGAACAGTTGGGATATCTCCAGCCATTCGGGCTCTGTGGCACCGATGCCACCCCACTTGGCTTCAAGATTCATGCTGACCCGCGCATCAAGTGTCCCAAACCATACGATATCAATGTCGGGACATTCAGTAAGAATCGAGTCGAGATTACGAACCCCCTCAGCTGATTCAATTTGGATCATGATGGCAGCCTGGTCGTTGAGACACTTGTGCAGGTCGCGCGAAGTGTCATATGGGGCATCGGTGAACCCAGGAACAAGACGGAAGGGAGGCAAGGACCGAGTCCCGTTGTGGTTCGTTCCAAACTTTGCAGCCGAAATGACGTGTTTTGCCTGCTCGACGTTTTCGACTTGTGGGATTACGAGACTCGCACCACAATCAAGTGCATGACCAATGGCGCCGTGATCATGACCAGGGACACTACAAAATCCGGATGAGAGGCAGTACCATTGATGTTGGGGCGTTAAACCTACCGAACAAATGGAATTGTTCGACCGCCACTCATAAAAACGGTCTCATGAACCATCTAGTCGTGTCAGTTGAACTCCTTATAGTAGAGGTGTAGACACTTAATTTACGGTAGTCATGGTCTCCACGTTACAAGATGTATGCTCCCAGTCAATCCAGCAAGCGTCGAATCCCATGGGCGCGACATAACGCGTAATTGGGACGGAACTGAGTCCTGCATAGTAGCAGATAATGGGTGGAATCTTCTTATCGTGGGCATCTCGGATGGCCTGGCGAGCTTTGTGAGGCTGGAAGAGAGACGGAGCAGCGTACGCCATCATCCCCTTTGAGGAGACATCCTTGTACTCTTCGCCGTTTTTGGACATTTTGATGAAGTTACGTCGTCGGAAATGTTTAGTAGGTATTGAGGAAACAGATTTCAGAGACCAAGTTGTAAGAGCCTGTGTTTGAAGAAAAGGGGCAGTCGATTCTCAGAACAACCCAGATCATGGTTCCATTTATATACAATTACCTTCATTAGCATTTGAAGTACCGACGATGACTGCCAGCTAGCGGCTGGCTCCATATGCAAGCTTCGTGTAGACAAGTATGCACGTTTCGTGTAGACATGCAACCTTCGTATAGCTTCATCTGCGCCTCTTAGCCAAAGGATCTTAGGGCTAACCGTGTAACAGCAATCTCGAGCACCAATGGAGCATCTACTGCATCTCAGACTTTAGTAAGTCCGAAATACCGTAGACGTCTGATGTAGACTTCATGGCGTTGAACGGTGCCGAGGTCCTCAATGCTAATTGATATTTCGCGAGAACTGGTAAGCCGAGGTGAAAACACCAAATTTGGTTAGTTCACTCACATTCAGCATGCGTTCGGCGTACCTTTCATAAAAAATCCTTCAAGCATAGATAGTCGCTTGGACAGCTTTGCGACGGCCCGGTCACCGGTGTGTGCGCGCGGCTAACACGGACTCAGTTAAGACGTAAGCCGTCCATCGTCGGTGCCTAGACACGCTTGTTTCAATCGCTGGAAGGAAAGGTAGCTCCGGCCGATCGGCCATATCTTGAATTACTGAACTTTGAGGTGAGCTTCCGAGGACGCTGTCTCATACCTGACCAAACGCGATACATTCGATGAGAAAACTAAACACTTTTGAAATACTTACTACCACCGATTGATTCCTTGAATCTGACATGATTGCATGCTCCCGACTACCATTCACATGGCTGTTTTACCTGTGCCTGAATGAGTGAAGCCAGCCTCGATACCAAAGCGGTACATTTGTCAAGATATGTGCATCTCAATCGTAGTATTGGCATGCGCCTATTTGATTCGGATGGACCGATAGCAGCGCGTGCGCGACGGCAAAGCCACATGGGTCTCAAAAGCGGTCTCCATTCACCGAGTGCCACATTTTGTCAGCTCCGTGGACCGTGGCTGAGACAGGAATCGGCCCTGGCTCCAAGAGTCCTTGTGCTGTTCCAGTGCCTATCTTCTGTGATCTTTGGTCCCGTCGGAGACGATGCCTGTTCTGGGCAGCTCATCGGACTCGTTGGTGATGGGCGAAGTTCCAACTCACGACTCTTACCAAAGCGGGGGCCTTGGCCGGGGTGCTAGTAGAGGGGGGTTACAACACAGCCTCTCTCGAACCTTGCATTTCCTCTTCGCGGAACGATCATTGCTTTTTCCTGGTGCTAGATCTGTTGGACCTCCTGAGTTCCGGCGTTATGTCCTGCCGAACCACCAACATGCTGTAGGGGTCGGGCCTTGTTCGCAGTGTTGGCGCCAACATCATGGGGCACACTGACAGGGGCTAATAGTGGCATCTGTTGGTTCGCTGACTGACTGCTTCTGCCAACCCTTGTCACCCTAAGCGGCCCTTGTTAATGATGGATGTACACGACATACTGTTTGAGTTCTGATGCTTCTGTAAGCCATTAGTTTCACCAAATTAATCGTCACTCGCTCACATACAACGTCCATCAAAGCCGAATAAATCGCCAGGCCGTAGGGTGGGTAAGACCGGGCTGTTTGCCTACTTCCACTTGCGGAAGAAGCTGCATTACGATTGTGGAGTTGTTGGAACCGGGGTCCTTCACGCGGGCTATTGGTCTTATCGCCCGTTGGTGATCTTCGGATTTCAGTCAGTGCCGCTTGAATCCTCTGAGGTTGGACCGACACCACCGCATATCCCCTTTATCGAAGATCGGATGTCCAGGACAAACACGCCAGCCCATGCTTGGCTGCCATCGTTCTACAAGCCGGTTGACCGTTTCTTCCCCATCACTCAATGGTCGCAAATCTAGTGAGGCTCTAAATTCTTCCTTCGTTCAGATAGCTTTGCCGTTGAATGACGCCATTTGCACCATCGCCCTACCTTGGTGGAATGGAAGATGGCAATCTCGCTTTAGTTGTTTGCGGTTCTCGGTCAGGGTACCAACAAGATCGAGCCGGCCTGCCATCGGGGCACATACCGATAACTGAGGGCGGTTGGAAGGTGTTTGCAACACTCATGCAGGGGCAAGATGTGATTGAGCTGACGGCAACCGGGCTGTTGGGCCGCCTCCGATGGAGAGCCCCTTCGCATCTTGGCATAAAAGTTGTGTCAAATACAGCTTGCTCGTCCCCTTCCAACGCGACCACGAAGAATTGGACTCTTCCCACCTTAGCCATCTAGCCGTTCTTGAAGAAAGGTTCATTGAAACAGCTTCAGTCATCCAGGCCCTCTTTACAAGTCAGTCATCTCCGAAGCAGCGTTCGGAAGCCGCATACATGGATCATTTCACCCTACGATACGGCCCGGCGATCGAGCCAAGGCCGCCGAGCCCGCCTGAAGGATCACTGGGATGGGATCTCCAGCCTGACACTCAGCCACCAGCCTTCGATCTAGCTTCGTCGATGGCTGGGTTGACGGTGGAACCTGACTTGAGCCTGAATGAGAACATGAAAGCATTGTTCCTGGCCAGAGTCATGGAGAAGGCCCGGAAGCTCATCTTGCGGCGCGTGAAAGAAAAGAAGGTTGCCGACGACGCTGAACTCGACGACTTCAAACTCGACGTTGAACATTGCCAGCGATGTTATCACTCAATTTTCCACAACCTGCCAGCTTCCTTCGATACTTGGAACAACGACAATACCCTTGCAGTCTTGGACCGGCAGAAATTGCACGCTGCGATCCAGGAGGCACTCAAAGACGTCAGCGACCAGGTGTTCCTTCTTGTAAAAATGCCAAGGCGCACACCTTACTCGGAATTGAACCTCGCACACAGGTACTCGGCCCAGATCGTCACGCCTGCTGTGTGTTTGGAGGTCATGGACCGCGAATACCAACGTCGCATGTATAGCGACGTCGAGCCGGTGAACTTTGACGAGCTTCGCGCCTTTTGGCTGCAGGTTGCGCAGAATCCACAGGATGTGATGAGGATCAGGAAGGTGGTGCGTCGTGCGAAGTTGTTGTGCAAGAAGTGGGATGACGGGGCCTATTCAGACTTCTCCTCGGTGCTTTGGCGTGCTTTGTGGTTTGCCAAGGGGGGCCAGGTTCCAATGGTGTAGCTGGGCTGCAAAAAGCTTTGGCGCCTTTCATTTCCTGAGAAAAATGCTCATCAAGAGCAGGCACGAGATGGAGAGAACATGCCCGGATTGCAGGCTCATCCCAGCTACGACTATCACGTCCATAACCAGAGAACAGTCCCAGGAGATGAGGCGGCGGCGCGGTCTTTTTCGTTTGGCGAGAATGACGAAGTCCGTCGGGTGATTGGTGGCGTTGGAGTCTGTCGCGGTTCTGGGGCGGTCAATTCGCCTTCTTCGATGGCTTTGGAAGTTGAAAATTTTAGGTAGTCTTTCGGTCACGGGGAAATAATTGGCGACGTTGTGTCAGAATGATCTTCATCGCGATCAACAATGCAGAATTGAAGCAATAATGAATCCCTCCATGCACAGAACGGCGGCAGGATCGTGAATAGAATATTTTCTCATTAGGCACACAAAAGACCTATTTGCATAATGGCATATCCAGAAGCAAGTCCTTCACCGGGCTGGTCAGATGTCCGTAGCAGCCGTGCCGATGTAGAGATCTCGATACTGCACCAGTTTCCCCCCGAGGTCTGTCAAAGCGAGCTTGACATCCTCGTTCTGTTCCCGCAATATCTCGATGATGGAACCTAGACGGAGGCGTGCCTCTTTGCGGGCTTTCCCTTCCTCTAACCTAGTCCTGAGGCCAGCAACCTTTTCTCGCAGAGGGGAGAGATTTTGTGTCTCCGACTCGCAGCCAGGAAGTTGGCTGAGTTCGAGACGGAGCTCTAGCTGCCGTTCATGATTGTTGAGGTCTTGCTCCAACCTCTCCAACTCCGCATTGGCCTTGATCGCAGGATCGCCTACCGTATCGTCGGGCTCCTGCATGAGTGCTGAAAAAACAGTCTCCATCTCTTCGAGTTGCTTCATTTGGGCTATGCTGGCAGACAGGGTGGCGATTCTGCCTTCGAAATGTGTCGACCATGTCTTGCGTAGTTCGTGGAACGTGGCAATATCATCCCCGACTATTGGCTGAGTAGTCGGCACGTCGTCAAAAACGGGGAGATTCAGAAACTCGGCAAACGCGCCCTTTTCGGCAGGCTGCTCATCAGCAAAGAGCAAGAAAGCCTTACGCCACGGGTCGGCTGCGAGGGTACCGGGCGGTGTCTGTCCCGCGAGTATATAAATGGCGTTGGCAGCGACGAATACGCTGCTGTTGCGCTCGTCGTCTTGTTCGGCGCAAGGAACTTCTGCAATCTGCCAAGAGCTTGAAGAGCGGCCAAGATAGTTGCGAGCAAAACGGGAAAAGATCTCGCCAGCTTTCGTCCGGTTATCCAGGGAGGGCATGGAATCTAGAAGGTCCACACGGTGTGTCTCGGGATGTACCTTGACAAGCACCCAGTGGCCACGAAGATGCATTGGTAGGAGCAGGATGTCAGGGTGCTTTTCAGACAGCATGGTCTTGACCTCGCGAACGGTAGGCGTGTTCGACGCGGCCAGGATCAGAGGGTGGATGACCACAGTGAGACCGTCTCGCCGGGTGGAACACGTCGCAAGCGCAGAGATGAGGCGATACATTATATCCTCGTCCTGCTGCTTATCGGGTGCCAGGCCATCGGCAAGCCAATTGGAACTTTTCGTGGGCTCGTTCTCTACCTCTGCCGTTGCGCCGCTCGTTTTGGATGGGGTCGGGCGGCCATTTTGGCCTGTATCTGGCGTGCCTTCCAGACCGACGTTCGTGGACGAGACTGAAGAAAGAGGGGAGGAGTTTGCGACAGGGCTCGCTTCTTTGTTGAGGGATCGGCGGGAGGATCTCGTGGGCTTTCCAGCAGAGGGATCGGATCGTTTCGAAGGAGGGAGCTCGAGGTCGGCGGTCCCAGACGACCGCTTCCGGGTCGATGACGGCGACGGTTGGTTGCTGGATTTGCTGGCCGACGTGGAGAGTTCAGTCGTGGTTGTCTGAGACGTGTGCTCAAAAATCCGGACTGCCTTTGCATCGCGACGAGACGAGGCGGATCCATATACCCGTAATGCTCCCCTGGTGGTAGCTGTCTTCCGCGGGGGTGCGGGTGCTGTCGCCGTTGGGTTGGCTTCGTTGGCGTGTTCGAGGCTCGAATCGGCATCGCTGGAGCTGGAGCTGGAGCTGGAGCTGGGGCTAGCTGGCGGCTGCGGAAAAAGCCAATCGTTAGCATGATGCCGGTCGGGAGGGGGATGTAATTGACGAGGGTCGCTCGCCGTTTCGAGGGACATACCATCACAGCCGAAGAACGAGATGATCTGGTCCCTACTGTGCCGTTGGAGGTGCGACGCGATGCATCTATCTGGGCAATTGCAGCTTTGACATCGTCCGCGACCCAAGGAGGTGGGGATGACAACGGCCCGAGGCCAGCTTTTTCCAGGCGACTAGTGATCGCCTCGTCCAGGGAATGCTTTGCCGTGTTCCATGGCACTCGTGCGCGAAGATCGCGTAGCGCGGAGAGGAATTTGGCAGTGAGGGCCTCGGTGCCGAAGAAGGCGAGGAAGTTGGCGAGGGAAACCTCCCACTTCTTGCACAGCGATTCGACCTCCCTGCGGTTCCGCTCCGAGGGGATTTCCTTGAGGGACGGCTTGGTGGCAGTGTCGCCAGGCTGCGCAGTGCCTAAAGACTGGCGAGTAGACGGCATGGTACCGTTGGCGGGCTTTGCGTGACCATGATGGTGTCGAGGCAAGATTCGGTCCCGGTCGCGATGTGCGAAGACGAGACCCAGGCAGGCAGGCAGACCTTCGGTGGGCGTGTTTGCCGTACAGGTGGACGGATAGGTAGGTTGCTCCCCGCAACCAGGATGTTTGCGAGCTTTGCAGCAGCCGTTCCAGCTTGCGGAAAGCTCCCTGGCAAACCCGACCTCCACCGGCCAGAAGGGGCAGGGGTCATCGTTGTTCCCCCCGACCAACAGCGACCATGACCTGAAGGGGCGGGGCTGTTTTAATTGGTTGGTGTCGCCGCAGTACCTAGCGTCCCTTTTGATTGACATGGATATCGTTTGATGATCGACCACCGAGGGAGTTTCCCAACGTCCTTTTTTCAATTATATCGAATAGGTGCCTCTGAGCTCTACTGCAAACAGAAAAGCCAGCGAACCCAATCCACCGCCCACGCCGTATCCCTATGACCGCTGGACTCCTGACAACCTCCCATCTCCGTCCGGTCCACGCTCGTCCCTTTTGACAGCCGCGGAGAATGCCATGGCGTACTGCTCGCACGTCATGCGTCCTGGAACGTCGCAGTAATCGGTGAAGTCATGGGCGCCGTACCATCGAGTAATCTCGTTGACGAACAATGGCCCTCCGTAGTGCCTTGCAGCGACGTCGAGGCGGCATCCAATATCCAACGAGCCAAGCTGGGGACTGTTAAGCTCTCGGAGGGATTCAAACACGCCAAGCGCATATTCCATGACTTGTGTGCCCGTGAATCCTCTCCGTTTGAAAGATGCCTCTGGCGGCCTGCTGGCACCGATCTGGCTCTCAGGAAAGGTTTTCGTGAGGCAGATCTTGTGTACCTCGCCTTTGAGGCCGCGAACGCCCTCAGGATCAGGTTTCGTGACGATGAAGACGCGGAACTCCTCAACCGAAAGAAAGTCGACGAATTCTTGGTGGAACCATGACTCCTTGGACGCTTCATCGACAGGCCGAGGACCACGCACAGGATCGAAGCAAGTCAAGCGCGGACTTACGTTCGTTCCTGCATGCAAGGAGCAGCCACTCCACGAGCGCTTGTTGAAGGCTCGAAACCCTGATAGAGCACATGTACCGTTTCCGAAGCAAGTTACAGGGCGCCAGTCTCGTCTTTTCGCAGCGACCGCGTCGAGAATCCGAATGTCTGGAAGTTTGTACCCGTCTGCCTGAGCTTCTTCGCGGGTCGGATATGCCTTCAAAACCCCGGCATCTGGGTTCCTGCTGATGTAGCCTTCGACGTCGTTGTAGCGACCCATGATGATGTCTCGAAATGGGAAGCCCGTATCCAACAGGATCACCACAAGACGACAGCGATGACTAAGTTTGAGATGTCGGTGAAGATCATTTGCGCGGAGATGTTCCTCGACACGATCCCAGGTCATAATGGTAGATCTCTGCGAGCCGCAGTGATGAACTCCTGCCGAGGCGACAAGAAAGGTCTGGGCAACGCTCATTTTGCCATTCGCGACGTGAACAAGACTAGGAAAAAGGTCGCAGAGATAGCTCGCCTCCCCAGGTGAGGCCGGCAGCCATGGCGCGACATCGGTCTGCGTGTCATCCAAGTCGAACGTGACGGTCGCATACGGACTGAAGTTGGGGTTGAAAACTGCACTGTCGCCCTCGTATGAACCGTCTGCCATTGGGCACTAGAGAATGAATGATTGTTCAACGGGGGACGGCGTCTGTCTCGGCGATTCCATCGATGCGTGCGTATGACGGGCTGGGATGACTGGGGATGTGGACGGAGCCGAGGGCTCGGGAGTGGGCGAGGTGGTATGCTTTGATATCTTATCAAGCACTTCGACACATGGCTTTGCCTCTTGGAATGTTGAGACAGTCTCTGAGTCTCCATTATGGGAAGCTGAGTTCATCCGCGGGCGATTTTCCTCGTCTTGAACCACCAAGGAGGGTTGAATGCGACATGGGACGATGTCGCCGCGCATTTTCGGGTCTGGCACTTGGCAGACGGTGGAAAATTGGTCAATGAGCCGATCGAATGCCTCGAGAACCTGTACGCGTCTGGACGCTCTGTTGGGATGCCCTGTCAGCAGATTTCAAAGCTTGTGGTTGCAAGACTTACTTGCACGCAGGGGTTGGAACGACGAAGGAAGGACAGGTCCGATGAGCCGCTCGGCTCAAAGCTAAAGCTGGCAGGTTTGCCAAGTCAACAACCAGAATATCTTCGCGAAAGTGATGGGGGAAATTTTTCATTAGGTCGACTTGCTGCAAGGTTCTTGGCGAGGGTTGGGTGTCGGAGGAGACTCGGGGCGAGACTTGGAAGAGACGAGACCTATTCGTAGGCGGTCTGAGGAAAGTATAAGGCAAGGAAGGGAACAATAGGCCGAGAAACAAATTCAGGGACTAGGGTGAAAGAATTTGTGAGAGATCCATGGGAGGTTCGAGAATCAGGCATCGCTCTTAGGAAGATAGGTCGTTTGGTTCCAGGCACTTTGCTCGGGCCGAGGTGTAGTCTAGACCAAACAAGTCTTGTGCAGCGTTGATCCACGTCACATTGATAGCTGTCTTCATTTTCATGAATCTTCACAAAGGATTATGCATGGTCTTTGAATATTCTTTGGTCTCTCGAGAAGAGTCAGAATCACACGCTGGCCTTGGGCAGCCATTCTCCGGGAAAACACGGTCAACGGCCCCCCCTTCGGATCTGGAACCAGCCCCCCACGCCGACATGCCACTGCCCACGTCGAGATGGCCCCTCAAGGCTCGAGAACTTCCGTGTGGCTTCTAGTGTGTCCAGTAGTAGGATTGAAAGGAGATACTTTGAGATTCATGTCGATGTCCCTTGTCTCTAACGGAAGAATTGCTTCCAACCGAGACCGCCAATCTGTTCTGCGTTTGCGCAGCTGCATAGCTTATCCTGTGTAATCGATAGATTTCAGGTTCTACTTCCACTATTACACGTTCCTTTTACAGCTACCTTACCCAGGTAGCTTGACCTAGTCCTGGCGCTGGACGAAGTTGAGGTCGTGGAGTTGTGCCGTAGCTCAGCGTTGCGGCCAAGGACCCACACTTTCGCGCAGCTGCCTTCACGACGTCGTTGCCTTCTTCGCCCACGAGCTACCACACCAAGCCAGTCTCAACCGGCACCTATAATTATTGGCACCTAGGCAGAAGGGCCTCTGACTCCATTGTGTTTATCCTCCGCTGGCATCTCGGTTGTCGTCTGCCTACAGCAAGGGAAGCCTACACCCAGCATCGCAAGCCGCTCCCGAACAGAATTCCCAGCTACTCAAAGGCGACGCGCAGTACTCTTGACAATCGAGAGATGGCTAAACGAAAGACGAAGACAGGTAAGCCCTCCCCAAGAGACCTCTTCGCACCCGTTCCCTCCGTTGCTGTCTCAAGATCTGACCGCCTACCTCCAGCGGCTCGCTCGTCCAAGCTCGGCGTCATCCTCTCCCACAAATCGACAACCAAACCCTCCAGCTACGTCGACACCTTCGACCTCCGTGTCCTCCCCGCCAATCCGCCGTATCCCGCCTTCTGGATCAGCGAGTCCAAAGCCCAGCTCATCGACCCCGATGCCGTCTGCTACTTTTAGGAAAAGAGCGCCGGCGGCCGCCAGCGTCACATGGCTCATCCCGACCGCTGGATGCCTCTGAAAATACTTGCCGCGCGGAAAGGCACCGACAAGAGAGGCACTTTTGTTGTGCAGTACGAGACGCGGTTTGTGGGACGCACCGAGGCAGCCTGGGTTGCCGCCACCAAAGTGGGCAGAGTGTTGATTGCCGAGTTCTGGGAGTCGTACGAGGCGCACAGTGGCCGCTCCCAGGAGGACTGGCTGGAAGGCCGCAAGCTGTCGAGAAGTGCGGTTGATTCTCTTGGGCTTGAGAAAAACTGCAAGTCGCTGGAAGACAAGGGATCAGCCAGACCGAACCGCAAGAAGCGGACTGGCGGGAAGCACGGAGAGAACGAGGATGATCTTCCAGAGTGGTTCCCTGCCCTGACACACCACTGAGGGTGCTATTTACGAGCGTCTGAGAGCGTACGACAATGTGTAGTCCAGTCGCTGCGCCATTCGAAGAATTGACCACGAGACTGGACTCAAAGTCGCAGCAAGCGTACGACCCAGACATCTCTTAGAGGGAATGGAAGATTCGTCATTGGTCTGTTCCGAGTTTATGTAATCTTGGGGAGATTCTGAAACGGCAGTGTTGGGACATACGAGTAGCGACGCGAATAGCACGAGGTTTAGTCGCGGTTATATTCTGATGCTACCGTTGGTCATGACGACGCCTGAACGAATAAGAATGTACTGCATGCCGGCCCCAATTCCACGTACTAATACTTGCAGGCCACTCCAGACTACCATAATACAAACCAAAGACCAGAGCCGTAAGATATCACGAATGACCCCCGGGCAGCAGGAGCTGTGTTAGCTGTGGAGTGTTTGGAATAGCTAGCCTTTTGGGATCAAACTCCTCTATTCCAGACTTCCACCATGCGACAATGCAAGCCATGGCATCTGGAGCCTGTAGATCATGCAGTTCAATGCCCCCCTTGTAGGCCTTAGAAACCGCCTCGTGGAAGATTTCCTTCCGAAACTTGTTAGAGTCGAAATCTTCCGTTGGATATCTGTCTCCCAGTCCTTCGTGGCAGATCATTCTGATCGCGTGTGCGACCTACACTCCGCAACGAGCAGCATTAGGGCTCTGAGGGACATCCTGATCGTTGTTATTGTGGTTAGCCTGCTGCCTTACACATCTAACGTAGAGGGGGGAAACTTTTGGCTCACCCACTGGCCGAATCTAAACGTTTCTATGTCGAAGAGACTTTCAACAGCCAGGGAGGCATCGAGTTTGATTGCATTGCGGCGTACGAACCCCGTATCCTTGTTTCTAAAAGGATCGAGGTGTTTGATCGAGGGTCCCTTTCCGTGCCCTGTGAAACCATCGTGAATGATCAGAAGCGACCAATGACCGTTGTTCGAGACGTCAAAATAGATCGGCACCAGAATGATTTGTCCGCTGCCTTTCGAGTATCCTTCAGGAAGCGTTGAGGGGTGACGCCCCGCGGAGGTATTAGACCTGGGGCGAAGCCATCCCGCGTCTGCGATGACATACTTTTGTCGGGCTTCGTTGGTTGAGTCTCGTCTGACGGCCCATGAATTCAAGTCCATGGTCGCCTCGGTCAGTGGCTGGTTACTTTGGAGCTCTTGACATATGCGCCTTGCAAGATAGGCGTTCAGGGTTGCTTCCACCTTAGTATCCGCGGCAATCCGCGCAATGTCCTCGGGCAAAGTGTTCTTTGCGAGCTTCTCCGGTTGCACGTTTTGTTGGTCCATCGTGGTCGACTTTCTGTGCAAGCTGAAAGATGTACAATGACTTTGAACAAATGCAACGCTCTCCGGAGGTGCGTATTCTCTGTGAGCCCGATTGTAAGTTTACCAAAAGGCTGGCTGTGAATAAAGTCGTGATGATGGACAGGTGGTGGTAGGCTGGATTGACGAGTGATGTTGGATGGTGGAGGATTGCAAGTATTCCGTGGAACCGCTTCGAAAATAAGAGCATCTCACCAGTGCAGGGTACCTACCTACCTCGCCCACCACCAGGAGTTAACCGTGGAAGGCGTCAGTCCAGATTTCAGTGCGCTCAAGGAAGCTCCGTGCAAACTCACGTAGAGACCCAGAAGGACGGGGCACGTTGGTCCTGCTCTCGGTGGCTGTTTGCCCGGCTGAGTGATGGCTGAGGCACGCCCGCCAGTAGCATCAGGAAGGGGGCAACGAGCACTTCGTGCCTTATGGAAAGTGCACACAGTGGCGGAAGGGGTTGGGGATTGTTTAGATCGGAAGGTACAGCTCCCAATTTCATGTGTTAAAGCAACTGCTTTTCCTTTGTGCTCGCTTCTATCGTTGCTGCTATCGTTTTTGCTGTCGTCGTCTATTGCCGTCGTCCTCATCAAAGTCACCTAGTAAATGATAACGTAGTCGCCCAGACACAGGAAATTAGGCGGTCTCGGAAGGCACCACAAGCCTCGCATGTTCCTCAACTCATCCAGCGTACCTTCATTGCATATCGGGCCCACCTCATCATGAATGCCTCCTTAACACGTTCTGCGGACAGGGGCGTAACACACCCACGGCATGCACTTTCCAACCTCCGCAAGGCACGCCTGGAACAGTACGGGGGTCGAGGCAACAAGGGCTACATGGCGCGGGTCATGCTATGAGATCAGGCTTGGATACGTTGCCAGAGAAGCTGCGCCAGCTGCGCCTCCTTGATTTCCATTTTTGCAAAGCAATAGTCCGGAAGGCTCCCGTCCAGCCAGGAATTCTCTCACTCGAGTGAAAGAAACAGAGCGAAATAATTCGGCATCGCACGCAGAAGATTCTCGACACGACTGCCGTCAAAATCTTGGTGGACAGAGTGATGGAAACCAGCTCGCTTCCAATTTGGACGAACTGAGAACTCAGATGGTCAGGGTGAAGCAGACACTTTATGATCAAGTGCACATTTGAGAGATGGGGAAATTGAAGGGCATGATTGCATCTTTCCGCGTTTATCATTTCGCGAGCGAGTAATTACGGTGCTTCAAAGCGACTTGTTGGTTCCTGCGAAACCCATGGCCGATGCAGATGGTCTCCGCGCGATTGGCGTTCCTTTTCAGGTAGGTTACTACTGCATCGACACCAAAAACGACGCGAATCAATGAGAATCCTGACCTGTTCGTGTTTTCGTTGTCTTTCCTTCGACGAGGTTGAAGGACGGCAGCAGCGTTATCGAAAGCCTTCAAGTCAGTCCGAACGGAAAAGGGTTGACAGGGGATCCTTAACAGAGTCCTCAATTGAAACAGCTACCTCGGAAAGGCGCCAGCAACGCTGCAGAAGGCAAATGAAGGAGACGGTGCGACACAAAAAGATATCTCCTAATCGACAGAGAGGAGTCCCGGCACACCATCATGGATACCGCCGCAAAGATCTGACATCGAGATCGGGTATCAGAAGCATGCCATATCACCCGAATACCCAACGCCAGAAAAGCACCATACGTAAACAAACCCGAGGAGATACCACATCTCCAATGTTGAATGTGTGGTCCCACCCACTACCTTTTCCCCTTCCTGCCCTCGGCCTTCCATTCCTTGATAGCATCGCTGGGGAGGCAGTTTTCCGGCGTCCACTCAGCCTTGTCGTACCCCACGAATTCCACCAAATATGCAACGCCTCCCTGTTCCCTACCTCGGACCTTGTTCATCTTTCTCTCGCCGAGGATCCTGCTGACGATAAACGGCCCTGTGACGGGGTCCAACCCCAGCACGCGGTTTCTCCTGTTCCACCCGCTCGGGCTCCAAAACTTGGAGACGACCTTCCGGCAGCTGTGCCACAGCTCTTCCTCGGGTTCCCATGTGGGTTCGTCGTGTAGCCATTTGCCTCCCCATTGAACTAGCAGTTCGACGTCATCGCCCTCGCGCCGGAAGTTTAGGATCTTGTGAACCGGGTATTGCTTGTTGTCCGAGTTTGGGCCGGACACTGATGGCTCTCCCGCGTCTTTGACTGCGGGGTGGGGAGCGTCGTTAGATTTCACGGCTTTCCTCTTCCGGGGGTTTGAAGCCTTAGGACCCGATTGCGTCGTCGCTCTTTTCCGCTTGCCTCGGCCTCCTCTGCGATTCCCATCGTCGGTAGCATCGGGCGCAGGTTCTTCGGGTTCGCCATGCTCTGTGGATGGGTGGACGTCGATCGACGGTCGCTCAGCCGGTGCTGGCTCCTCCAGGCTGGGGAGGTCCGTTGGCTCGGGGCCGGGCGCATCGTCAGCGGTTTCAAGGGATTCGAGAGGGTTGGCAGACAGGTCAGGAGACGCCGGCCGCGAGCCATCTGATAGCGGGCTGTCTAGATTCGATAGGGGGCTTGAAAGCCTCGAAGAAGCGTCGGTCCAGTTCGAAGGGATGGCATTGGAGGCATCTAGCTTGTGCGGCGCACTGCGAGAACGGCATGTCAGCACACGAGTTCCCGGAAGCCTCGGAATTCAATTACCTCGACTCGGCAACGGCTCCGTTGCCGCCGATGGAACCGCTCTTGTTGAGAGCCATCTTGCTGGGCGATGGGCGGGGACTCATTCCTGCAAATAATCTGGACAGCATCTTGGAAGGATGTCGTTGGACGAATGCGATGCGATGCGATGCGATGCGCCGCGACGCGACGCGCTGAAACAGAGGGGCCCGATTACGTAGCTGTAGTGTAGGTAGGTAGTCCTCAGCGTCGCAACAGCTCTGAGATTGCTGCTGGGTCCACTGGCACTGCGCACCATCAAGGACAAGAGGCACAAAATGGTCCTTATCCTTATGACGACTTATGCATGGCACGTGCGACTAAATGCACATAACTCACGCGCGCAAGGTGCTGCACAATTACATAAGGCAAGGCACAAATCGCGACTGGTCTGCGCTGGATTAACATTTCTAAGTGCACTGGACGAATCCTCAGCCGCTTTCGGGTCCTGGACAACTCGATATATGGCGAACCTTATGCAGAATGCATGCCCTAAGACCACATACACTCCAGAACAACGCATGTCTGAGGTGGGCTGCTGGCAGCCAGGGTAGTCATCTAAGTATTGCCCCTCCTCGCGAATCCTGCATCCGATGATGTTGCAGATAACTTCATCCAACGGCAAGGACCATCGAAGATTCCTGCCACGACCTCGTCATTGTTCTAAATGCACTTGTGTAGATTAAATCATCGATTACTTCATCCTTCCCCTCAAACATCACGTCGTTGTTGTCCTTGTACTGCACATTTTTCCACAGGCCAATAAAGTCAGAGAAACGTTCGCACAGGTTGACCGAAGTCTTGTTTGTCTTTTCGTGTATGTAGTCGAAAGTCCATTTGCGTCTTATCATTCGTTCGGGTGGTAACTTGGTTGGCCCCACGAAGCGTGGCCAACACAAGCTTTTCTTGGAGAGCCGGAGGCGCAAATGGTACAGATGTTGCATAAATGTCAATTCGCTAAGGTCTAATGAGCATCTATGAAGAGTCATTCAAAACAGAAGCATAGAAGCAGGAATGGGCAAGCGGTTCCGCCTAGGCTCGAGATTCCCCGGACGGATAAAGAACAGCCTCATCGACTTCGTACCGTGGTCTGTTTTGTGTGCTTGGGAAACCTCATTGAGCTACGGGCTGTGTGGCTGAAGATGCTGCTTCTCTCCCCCCTTTTCCCTTACCTTGCGCTTGACGTAAAAGTGACGAATGATATACCCATGTATTAGACTGCAGTGAACAAACGGAGTAAACACAATGTCATTGACTTCAACAGGTCAGCGGCGACAAGGGGAGTACCAATCTTATCAATTTTAGAAGAAACGCAAATTAGAAAACCCAAGTGAACAGCCGAAATATTCGCTAATAAGTGCGCGCAGAAAGACGAATACTTGATATGCCGGTGTCCAAAATGCTTGTAATCGAGTAATCTTGGCTCTATAGGCAAGCTAATAATACTGTTTTCAAAACAACGAAAAAGAAAACGTCCTTGTTTGTTCCACAACTGACCTCAGACTCAACTAAATACTGCATTCCTTCTTGGCGAGGCCTGTGGCACTTCTGGGCGTTGTCGAATCTGGCCACGAAGCTCGCTACGGTAGTATTCTTGACGTGTGCCAAGTGGTATCACGAAGAACCGCAGCCTAGTCAGAAGATCTTTGATAATGTTGAGGTCAAGCTGTTGCTGAATTAAACATGACACGGCCAGAGATTACCATGTTCTTGCGACGCCGGACACAAACTAGCTGATTTAGCTTCCCGGCGCGAGATCTAGCTAAGGAGCCGCCAACGCCACGATAGTACCGGCTGGTCTTCGCTTCGGTAACTCAGACCATGTTGCACAGATGGGGCCATGGTTCAGCTGAAGGACGCTTGGCTCCGGTGGTACGGGTCCCAGTGAAAAGAGTGCTCTTTTTAGGTTGACATACACTTTGGATCTTGTTAAAACATGCTTATTTTGATCTTAAAGTACGGTAGCATTAATCTGATTAAGGTTCTAGTGCAAGCGACTATCGCAGGGTCCACGTCTTGGCAGCAGTTGGGGTGCGAACAAACGCCACAACCACGGACTCTCCCGTCATTCGCGAAGTCTTGCCATTGTTCGTCAGGTCTTGGATGTTGTCGCGATGATCATGGAACATGCTTTTGATCATCATAATAAAAGAATACGCTTGATACTGGGGAGAATTTGTATAAGAACCCTCTTAATGTCCCAGTGTTGTCAAGTCTATCTCTCCTCATCACGCTCACTCAACTCCAGCCTTCACCACAACACATTCTCTGAAACTCACCCACATTCAATCTTTTCCCAATCTCAACTCCAAAGCACCAACTTTATTCAAGATGCATATGCCCACCTTCGGTCAGGTTGCCACTATTGGCATGGCTCTTTTCGCCGCTGCAGCTATCGCTGCCCCTGTTGCTCAGCCGCTTGAGGCTGACGTTGTCGAGGTGAGTTCCAAGAATAATTGTAACAAGAGATTTACTGACCTCATTCAGCGCTCTGCCGAGATTGTCGTGAGTGTTGCCATCTGAAAGCTTTTAAAATCCCCTCTTTCATATGTCTTGCGCTTTGGGGTGAAAAATAGACTGACTTACCATTTCATTAGGCTCGCGGTGATGGTATCTCCGTAAGTACCGATGTGAAGTACAATTCCAAGCAGTGGACCATAATTGCTAACGGCTTTCGACTAGGCCTTCGCTGGTGTTGAGCTCGCTGCCCGCGGCGACCTTGAGCAGCGCAACAAGAAGAAGTGCAAGCGTACCAACAACAAGGGATACTGCACCGACTCCGACGACGATAAGAAGGATAAGAAGAAGAAGCAGTGCAAGCGCAACAAGAAGGGCGACTGCTCTGATTCGGAGGACGATAAGAAGGGCAAGAAGCAGAAGCAGTGCAAGCGTAACAAGAAGGGCGACTGCTATGACCCCGACAATGACAAGAAGGACGATAAGAAGGGCAACCAGAAGGATGACAAGAAGGACAACAAGAAGGACGACAAGAAGGACGACAAGAAGGACGACAAGAAGGACGACAAGAAGGACGACAAGAAGGACGACAAGAAGGGCCACTACTAATTGGCATTCATATCGTCATCTGTGGAGGCCGTACTCATTGTTTGGTCTGTGCATCTGACGATGCATCGTTGGGCTCCGATTTGACTCGGCATTGCCGTAGGCTTACACCACTTCATTTCTGATTTGTATATTTGAACATCACATATTTATATTTCGTCATCAATCTCATGTTACTGTTGTCGGCCCCATCTATATACCGAATCGCCTTTTCTGTATGCGCGGTTCATCTTTCGTACTCTGATGAAAGAAGCTGGCCCGTGAAGTAACCTATTTTGGAGAAACGAGAGAGCCTATTTACAGCCTAGAGCTCATGCAGACCTGATGCTGATGCGATTTGTTAAGATATTGAGCAGCAAGGATATCCTCCATCATCAGTCCCCATGGCCGGCAGCTGGCTTCACAGCTCCACTGCCAGAACCTGACCACTGTATGTCAGACCGCCTACTGCATTTCCACCAGTGGTCACGAACAACGTCTTGTTATCCTCGGAAACGGCAACAGAGGTCGGACGATGAATGAAGGTGGTATCGCCACCGCCAGCGACCGTGACATACGTTCCGTTCACGAAAATCTGGCCCAGTGCGTTCTGGGTCTGGGCGACAAAGATGTTGCCCGACGCGTCAATAACAAAGTCATCCCAAGCATAGCCCCCAGACGCAACCACCAATGTCTCAACATCGCCAGCTTTGTAGCCGTCTTCAGTGATAGGAACGCGGCCAAAACTGGTTCGTGCCGTGTTCGTGAAGTAGGCATACCCATCTGCAATCTTGATCCCATTGATACCAATGGGAATAGTGGCATTTGCGGGGGCAGCAAAGAGGTCGTCGGTAATTGCCACCTCAGTCGCTTCAGTCTGGGTATCGATGCGGAAGATGCTGCCAAGGCGCGAGTCGGTAGCCAAGACAACATGAGGCTTAGACGGCAGAGAGGCGAGCCCGTTGAGCATGACGGCATTGGGAAGCCTGGCGACGACGTTGACAGTGGGCTTGGAGCTCTCTCCGTCGCTGAAGTCAACTATATAGACGCTTTCGTTGGTGTAGGAGTAGTTGTTGCCGCGAACGCCGCCCAAGATAGCGAACTTGTCTGCGCTGGTTGCTGCGATGCCACCAATAGCCGTGGCTCCCGGGAGTTTGGTGACGAGTTCGGCTCGGGATCCATTTGTCAGAGTGTCCAAGGTGTAGAGGCTGCCGTTGTCGAAGGTGGTGAGAAGAAGCTGGCCGTTAGACCGGAGAGCGCTGTTTTCGATAGTCACAGCATAGTCGGTGAAGTTCCATAATTGCGACACCACCGAGGCGGCAGATGCAGAGCTAAATGCGGCTACAACTCCTAGAAAGGCGGAAGGTAACATGACGGCGGTGGCTTTCTTAGAAGAGTCTGGAGGAAGCGGAGGTCAATCGTTAAAATTGCGACCGCACTTATGCTTTCATACCTTATGGACTGAGGGTGAGTGGATCCTCGGGTCTCGCTGGATGGGTTGCGTGATTGCCGACGTCGTTGGTCACTGTGTGATGAGTTCATGTCGAAATCACCTCGGAGTTACCTTTGTCTAGCAAATCCCCGGGCCCCCCTGATGCCTGCTCCCTTGCTGTATCGCTGTGTAGATGGGCACTAAATGACGGCAGATACTGGCCAGAGAAATCTAAAGGGAGGGACAGATCTGGACGGCAACCTAAGAGAGCCACTTTCAATGCGGCCCGTGTTCAGATCATCAACGGGGTTAAACGTCCTGCGGCTCGGATGTTTGCTCGCATCACCCCCACAAAGCCTAATGTTCGCCATCTTTGGACGAACAACTGACATGGAGGGATCCCTACCCCTCTTGCAGTGTGACGGTACTACTGCAAGGGGTTTCCACCTCCTTATTTCGACTCTATTCCCGCAGGTCGCGGTGGAGGATGCGTTCGATCCCTATTGACCATTCGTCATAAAAGAACCATCTGATTGACTTACGACTCTTGCAGCCACAGGCATCCGACTGCTCGTTCTAATAGTTTAGCGTCTCACGCGGTTCTCAACGACTATGAATATCTGCAATGGACGTTTGCCACGCTGCAGGAGACATTGGGCAGCTTCTTGGCGGCTTCTTCTCGATGGAAGCCCTTGTCCGAGACGTTGAAATGCTAATGACATTAGATGACCGAGGTCTTCCAGATGGCTGAGAGAAAGGAAATCAAGAGCTGGGCGTAAAAGTATTTGCCTTGAGAAAGTCTGGAGATCTAAGAGACTATTAGGAAGTGATAAAAAATAATGACTCGTCAACTTCGCCGGCGCAACCGCGATGAACTGGAAGTCTAACCGAGCAGCATCCGTTGCTCTTTGTTGTCAGCTCCTTCCGCATCTTCTGCTGAACGCGACTTCGCTGCCTGGAAAGTTCACCTCGCCACACGAGAAACAGAACTGGCTGCCTGCGCACACATCCGATCAAGCGCATCTGAGGCAACCTCGAAGCGAGCCAGAACCCTTCCTCAACATCACTTTCGGTCTCTAGCGACGAGCGACAATCTGAAGATATCCGATCATTTGGCACCGAGAACCAACCACTACCAACCTGATTTCTTCCTGGTAACTCTTTTGCCCATCTCTTACGTCATTTCAAGGCAGCCATCTCACTGACTGACAAGTCCGAACTGCAGTCCCTCCAGAAAACGCACCTTCCACAAACGCCAGTCGTATCTTGTCGTGAAAAGCATTTGACTAGCCATTGCAGGTCGTTCGATACGTGCCGCAAGAATGACAAAGAAGGCACAGGAACTCCGCCGGCGAGAAACCCGACGGTGGCGCGACGAACTGCAGTCTCTCCTCGGCAGCAGCACAACGCCGGATGGCAACGACATCGAAAGCCTGCAGCGTGAAGTCTGCCACACCCTAGTCAGAATAATCAAGAATGCGCACGACAAGCCCCCGGAATCGTTGTGGGATGTTGGAGGACCTCTCCATGGCATCCACTATCGTCGGTCTGTCATCAGATCTATCTGGGAGACCTTAGCGCGGAAGCGGACAGACGTCGCTCTTACGACCGCGACTTCCATGCGCGAAATGGTTCCGGGAGACGTTCAAGGTACCCAGTCAGCTAGAGCTGCAAGGTACAGTCGGCGAAATCAGTCCGTCGCAGGCGACACGGGTTCTCGATCTTCCATACCGTCCCCATCATCAATCACTAAGTCGTCAATCGCTCCTCCTGGCCCACATCAAGATCAGCCCAATGACCAGCAACTCTCCAAGTCCGACACTGAGAACATCATGACTCAATGCACAGTCGACGGCCCTCCAGACCAAGCGCAAACATCTCAGTGTAGCCGCGGCGTGGCCTTTACACACTTCAACGACACTGGACTGCTCAAACCTGGAAAGAGCCTTCATGGCAGCCTCATCTTGAGCATCATCCGACGCGCCGCGCATCTCAACCCTTTCCAGTATGTCATCTTGGACCCCGCAGTCTCCAGCGGAATCCAGAACCACAAGCCGATTCCAAGAGATGTACAAGAACAGATGGCGTCTTCTGGAAGATGCTCCATCATTGCTCCTATCCATCTTGCCGACAAACAGCACTGGGTGCTACTGAGATTCGATCGGCGTAACGACGTTGTTCACGTTTACGACTCCCTATCCCCGACCGGTGTTGATGGCCAAGTTCGAGCCTTCATCCTTCTCCTCATCACTACGCTGGCGATGCACGATCCCGTCCCCACGATTCACAACTGCCATTGTCCCCTGCAGGCCGACGAAGGAGACAGCGGAATAGCGGTGATTGTCAATGCGCTGAATATCATGACTGGAAACGGTCGTCTTGGAGTCGACAGCAACAAGAACTACACCCTTTAGCGAAAGGTGCTATGCCCGGTGCTGGATCAGACTGCAAAGAGGATATCAATGGACGATTGGATTCAATCTCATGCAAGCGTTGAGACTGTCAAGACGGAGCTGATGCAGGTGAAGTTGCTTCTGAAAGCTCTATGCGAGCAGACGACCGCTCTGCCCGGCATCAGGAGCGACCAATTGGCGAACGAATTCTATGCCCACAGAACGGCGCGAGAAGCCTTGAAAGTTTGCATACAAGTTGATCCATGCCTCATACGACGACTGGATGCATCAATCGAGCGGTGCTCGGAGTTCATCAACAAGAGAGCAGAGGCTTGCGTATTCTTCGGTCGTGCCATATCTGCAATTGACGCTACCCTTGGCGAGATGGATGGCACTGGAAGCGACGTTGAGATGTTAGGGGAAAGCTAAGCATGGCGCCGTCGACATGATACACGGGAGCGTTTACCAAACCCACGGCGTCGACTTCGCCGACCACCAACGGCGACAGAAAGGATCGGTATATGCTCTGGGCCTTAAAGGCTAAGCCTGACTGCATGTTTATCTTAGGATTCTAAAGTAACTGTTCGTTGACTAATATGTTATCCCCATATGACTAACTGCATTCGTTGTGAAGCTCAGCGGACTGGCAACAGTCTGAGGTTTACTTTCAGAGATTGAATATCTTGTTTATGTGCTAGCTGAGTTCCAAGATGAAGCAGTATTACAATATCAAGAGTTCTGTGACGGATCGGCATAAAGCCGTCCGACGACGTTGCCTTTCAGCAGCCGATCCACCCCCTCTGCTAGCCTTTCAAATGGAACCTCTTCAAGAGCTGGCCGGACTTTGTTGTTAGCAACAAGCTCGAGAGATTTCTCCACCTCTTGGAGCGAAGATCCGGCAGATCCAATGAGCTTGACGCCCAAGGCAACGAAAAAGTGCGTGTCGAGCACTGCTTGCTTCGAAGCAAGGCCAACAAGGATCACTTTCCCTCCGAGTTTGACCGCTTTGGCTGCCGCAGAAGTGGACGACCCCGCACCAGCGAAGTCAAGCACAACATCAAATCGAACTCCGGGGAAGCTGTCAAAGGTCGTTCCCGAAGAATGGGCCCCCGCAAGTGCAGCCGCTGGAAACTTGCGGCGGTCTAGGTCGACGCAGAAAACACAAGCTCCCAAGCCAGCCGCAATCTGGACCGCCGAGAGGCCCAGACCGCCTAAGCCTATGACGGCAACCTTGGATCCTGGGGAAATCTGGCCCTCAGCAACGACTGCATGGTATGCCGTCGCTACAGCATCGGTAGCCACCGCTGCTTGGGCAAACGATACGCCATACGGGATCGGCAAGGTTCGGTCTTCGGAGAGCACCACGTACTCGGCGAACCCACCGTCCCGACCTATTCCGGGGCTGTCGACTACATCTCCAAGTTCAACAGGGTGTTTCGGTGTGATGACTGAAACGACAGCGTCACCGACTTTGAACTTCGTGATGTCGGCTCCGCAGGAAACGACAACTCCAGCGATCTCGTGTCCGAGGATGATGGGGCGTTTCCAGAAAAACGTGGTATCGATGCCGGAAACGATATTGCAATCAGTATGGCAGATGCCGCATGCCTTCACTTTGACCAAGACTTGGTTGTTCTGTGGAGTCGGCACAGGAACGTCACAACGCTCGAGACCCTTTGAAGGGGTTGAGAAATGGTAAGCCTTCATGATTTTAGGGGTTTTGTAAAGGGGTAAATCTTAGGCAAAGGCTATCGTGGCCCAGTCAATGTATTCGATTTCAGGGTGACTGATGAAGGAAGGATGACGAAGTAAGACTAAGAATTGAGGACAATTTACTTGCAGTTAAATAGAAAAATAGGAATCACTCGAGGCAACGACACCACCTGCCTTTCGGAACTCACTTCTGTTGGGAATTCCATTGACTAAGCCCGGGTCAGAGGAAGCTTGCCAATCCAAAGCATTTGATCGCCACCGGATAAATCATCGTCCCGCCTCTGATTCTCGAGACAAACCTAAACTTTCATGAAGGTTGAGATATTTGAATTAAATGAGGTAGAGATTGCGCAGCTAATGTTTATTTTCATTCATGGTGGTTGCCAAATGATTACTGATTACACCTCTGCCGCACGGATTGCCGAGGTGCGGCCACCCCTGAAGCCAAAAGCATCATAATCAGGCTTTGTCATCATGGCTTGAGAGATCAGACCCCGAATCATCGACGATGTTCAGTCTGACATCTGGTAGCACATAGGACGGCTTCGAACGAATTGAGCTGGAGCTGGAGTGGGCTGAAGTCATGCCGTCGGGACAACTGAAAGGCCCAGACGTTGTTTCTGGGTCAAGATTAAGTTGCGCCTCCCATCGTGATTGTGTATATAATAAGGTCGGAATTCCCTTGAACAAAGAATTATTCTCCTAATCTGCATCCCGAGTTGGCAGGCCAGAAACTTTTGCACCCCCACCAACAATCAACCTATCGAGTCAAAACTCCAATTTTCTTTTTTCATCATCCGCAATGTCCACTCTTCAGATCGCCGAGACACAGTTTGTTATCGTCAACGGAACAAGAGTTGCTTTCAGACGCTTCGGAAAGCAGTCCCAGGTTCCATTATTGTACATCAACCACCTTCGCGGGTCGATGGACACACTTGATCCCCTACTGTTCAACGCCATTGCGAAGAACCGAGAGGTCATCGTCTACGACAGCTTCGGTATCGGCCATAGTGATGGACAAGTCCCCGAGTCTACAGCTGCCATGGCTGCGATTGCGGCCGGCTTCGTGGTTGCCATTGGCGTCGAGAAGGCCGACGTAATTGGGTTTTCGATGGGAGGCGGCGTAGCCCAGATCCTGGCCTGGGACTATCCTCACCTGATACGAAGGTTGATTCTAGCCGGCACCCAATCTGCCATTGGCGAGGGCGTAGTACTGCCTCCCAAAGAGGTACTGGAAAGCGCAGGAGCAAACAATGACGAACCCCCTACGTTGGAGGACATGCTGCGCCTCTTCTTCTTCCCATCGGATTCCAGCTTGGCGATCGGTCGTCAATGGTGGAACCGTATTCATGAGCGCCAAGTAACAGGAGAAGAGCGAAAAGGGTTTCTTATTGGCCCTGGCGCTCGATCCCAGCTGACGGCAATCTTCTCGTTCAGTCTCAACTCGAGCAACTTCGACCGTCTCAAGGACATCAAGGCGCCTACTCTAGTCACCAATGGCCACAATGACATTATGTCGCCTACGCCAAACAGTTTTACTCTCCAGCAGAACCTTCCGAACGCGCAGCTCATCATCTACCCCGATGCTGGTCATGGTCACCTGTTCCAGGTTCCAGAGCTGTACGCGAAGCACTTGGACTTATTCCTTGGGCATTGATAATCCTCAAGATTCGTCAGCCCGAACGGGTGTTTTTGTAACATGTATTCGTCTCCCAGTGTAGTCATTGAAATTGAATTCTACTCCGACAATGATCGTTTTTTGTCTTCGCGCCGTTGTAAAATCTGGGAATTCTCGAGTGACTGTCGATCCGGCCGCTTTTCCGTCTGCCCGGCTCTCGGTCAGCGACGTTGGAAGCCTCTTCACTGCAAATCGCATGAAGCTGAGTGAAGCACCATCATCTTACGCGCAAATATTTGGAAATTATGTCCCTCTGTAGATTTGAGGATCTTTCAAATCCATAAAATCATCGGCATCAAACGTGGCCCTTCGCGCAGGGATCTGCCGCAGTATGTCTGAAAACGTTTCCTTCCAGACTTCGGGTGCATGTAGAGTGGCGACGGACGAACGTTGACGCGCCTTCTTTCAATGTCTGTGACCTCCATGCGCGCTTTATCAAAGGGCTGTTCCCAGAATTGGTTCGCTGGCCAGTCGGTATTCTGCCATTGCCGCCCAGCTAACATCTCTAGAATAGCCATTACTGGAGGCGTGGTATGCACAGTCATTGCTGGCTTGGATAGTGTAACGAATACCCAAGCATATTGCAATGATGCTTGTCGCATAGTGATCTTGTCCGGGGGCGCCACTTTCTTGATATTGACTTGTTCATTTTGATGGTCTCCTGGGTTAAATTCGCTCCGGCAGGCTCGTGTTGTAGTCGTTGCCCAAGTTGTTTCTGTATTTTCGGCTCGGTTTCCATGAACCCAATAACTTTCGGCCGCATTCATTATGCCTGTCTTGGAAGGAATGATCACGGACATGTCATAATATCGTGGAAAAGGTCTGAATGATAGCAGTGTGTGGGAGGCATGTGGCTCTGCGTCACTTTGTCGGTGACAACCTGCGCTTGTTGTTGGATACACTAGAGTGATCGAGGGGCCTGCGGTCGTCTTTTTATTATTTTGGGATCTTTTATCTGTATTAGCTCATGATCGAAGAGTCAGATGTCGTTGCGTGGAAGGCAGAGCACGACGAAGAGAGGTTAATGGCCGGGTGCGGATGATGGGAGAGCGAGGCGTCTTCTGAGATCCTCACTCGACGAGGAGGCGGTAGTCCTCGCCTGTGGGTATCATGAGCATTGAAAAGGAACTGCAAAAGTGAATATGTATTCGACGTTGACGCGTGTCTACTCACCGTCGCGAAGAAAGTGCTGGCGATGATTGACTTCAGGCGGTGTTGCCGGGCGGAAATGACAAGACAGCGGAGGGCACATCACATAATTTGGAGAACATGAATTCAAAATGCGAGAACAAAGCATTTAAAACTTCGATGACGGACCATGCCAGTGAAAGGTAAATGAAAACAGGCAGCAAGGCTTTGTACTTAGAAGAGAAAGGGACGCAACGTTTTCGTTTTAATTGATGAGATCATGCCGCTCTTGATTTTCTTCCAGCTAAGAAAGGTGCAAGTACGTAAAGCAGTCTGGTAGGAAAGACCCTTCAACATAACATCTCTATCAGGTCGACCCTATCCATCTCCAGTCCCCAAGCTAGGAAGGCGCGGTTGAATACCATCTCAAACTTTCCCGGCAGTCCCGTCTCTGCATCCAACCACGACCCTGGAGGTGTTATCAGGCTCGTTCAGTACATGT